ACCTTAGTACTTTCTAAATACAATGCATGAAAAAATTGCTCATCAAAATGTCTCCTTTATAGATTTTGCACTCAAAATTCTAAATGTTTTGGGGCTATATAAAAGAACTGATTTGTGTTCCAATCAATTGGACTAAGCAATTGATTTGTAAATAAAAGGAGGTCAATTCTGATCAAAAATACAGGGTTGTTCCTAAGAATTGAAATAGAAGGGAACATTAAAAAAGTAGAAGGGGGTTTAGGGTTCCACTCTCACAGGGAGTTGAGGAATACACTGTACCAGAATAACCGGGGAATTACATCATTATAGGCAGGGAGATTTCCCGGCCCCCAGGTCTTCGGGACAACCCTGATAATTGATTAGTAATAATTCAGCACAATTTTTAGCAATCATACTTATTCATGCCCAAACACACTCACAAGATGTATACAGTTATCCAAACAATGGAAATACATCTTTTGCTTAAAAGTGTTCAAATGCTGCAATGTTTAAATTATCTTTGATTTGGACATGTATGAGTAGTTGTATACTTGGGATTTTTTAGTATATTTCTTGTAAAAACATATTTGTAAAAGACTGCAATTAAATATTTTAAATATCTATATTTAATAAAGCTATACAACTAATTTAAGTATATAGCTAAATCAAGAGATTGTGCCAACCAATATTACAGCAAAACCTGACACCAGAATTATGATTCTGAGGTTCTGACTGGAAAGCAAAAAACCCAGAACATATGTTATGTGAATATTTGGACCATGATAATTGTTCAGGGCTGCGTTCAAGATGGTAGCAGCTAACAAAGCAGCTAGGTGGTAGATATCTAGCTCTATTGAATAGACATGCAGCTCGCCTAGCCACCAGATGTTAGATTTAAGATACAAATATCATAGTTGTAACTAATTTGGAACAAATTGAGCTGAATATGTATTTGAATATGTATATGTAAATAAACATTTAATTCACTTAGATGGAGAAAACAATCACAATTAATTTTTGTTCATATCAAATAAATCTCATGTGATCCGAGAGGGTAGCTTAAGAATTTAAGCCATTTTGATTTGGTACCTAGCATAAAAATAATTTTTTATACGTAGTGGCTAGGATAGCATATCTTTCAAGATCGTAGTTTTACGTAGAGGCTATGTAACAGCTATGCTCTTGAAGGCAACCCTGCCTGGTACATGTGTTTCCACCCTGAATTTGCCACAAAAGTTATCATTGGACTTGTAGGTCCTGTAAAGATGCAGAATTGTGTTTTCTGGTTAGTAGCATGTCTTTTTTTCTCATAGAGTAAAAAGTTAGGATTCTCTACAAGGTAGGCCCTTGATTGGAAATAAACTCTTTTATTTTGAATAAAACGGGTTACACTCATGTTTTTAACCTCTGACTCTGCCATGCTTTGTAGGGTTAACTCATCCAAAGTCCAATAAACATGTGCCAAAATCCCCAACTTGAAGTCCAGCCCATAGAAACATAAATATTAATCAAAACTGTAAACACTAAAACAGTTGTAATCGGTAATAGAAGGATGAACGGAACTATCAAAACCCAATACGGTTTAACGTATTTTATTCCGATTTCCGAGATATTATAAAATATTCATATATGTAATTTTAATTTAATACAAAGTTTCAAACGATTAAAATCAATGGAACTGGTTTAGGCAGCATATTGGAAAGTGTATGTATGACATAAACGTTCATATACAGAGATTCAAACAATCTGGATACAAATAAAATTCTAGACCTTCAGACTCAGTGTCCTGATTTCATGCACGGCCTCAGGTACTTGTGGACAGGACCTTCCATCTTCCCGATATTCCGGGGCTTGTTCACGTTGTTGGACGTTCCTTCACAAATCATATTTATTTCACATATTCATCATGTAGAATAGAATAGAATAGGATTTATTACCAAATCAGGACCCAATGGGCATAAACATATAACATGTATAATTACAGATAAGATAACAGACAGAATACAACATATAATGAAGAGCAATTCTTCCCATTTAGTACATTGGTGGTGTTTTGAGTTTCATATGTAGACATAGGTTGTCTTGATTTAAGATATACCACAGGGAAAGCCCCCCCCCCCCCCCTAAAAAGATATATATTCAATTCTTTATTGACCAATTAAGGGCCCTCATGGGGCAAAAAGAAAGTACATTGTTAAAATGTATATAATGATTATGATCATACACACGAAATACAATATACATACACATAAGAGGGAAAGAATTGCTTGATTGATAGAAAAGACATACAAGTAGGGGAATACCCAAAATATTTTATATGAACATAAGACTTGTTTTATAGGTATATATATAGTACATATATATATATGCATTCATTACTAAACCATATACTTGAAAGTATCATACTTTTACATAATTAATAATAATAATAATAATTATATATATATATATATATATATATATATATATATATATATATATATATATATATATATATATATATATATATATATATATATATATATATATATATAAAATTATAATTATACATTGACGAAACAATTGACCAAGTTTAAAACTATATATATATATATATATATATATATATATATATATATATATATATATATATATATATATATATATATATATATATATATATATATATATATGCATCTAGGGATGCACACTACCAGCTAGACTTTCTTCGGATGCTGGATCTGACCTACATTTGCCATATGAGTGACCAGGTTAAAGTTTCTGGAGTAGCTCTGTCCCCAAGTAACTTGCTTCAGATGCTGGATCTGACCTACCGAAACCAAATTTAAACTTGCATGGATATTGATTTCGAGATGCACATTGAAAAGTAAAGAAGTAAGGGAAAAAAAATGGTGTGATCGATATTTGCCTTACTTACGTAGATAACAATCGTCGGAGTGAGCATCGTAATCTATGCATGATTACCTATGTATTTACAACGTCAAGGATGTGTTTATTTGCTTTTCAAACTATTTTCAAAAAAGAAAAAAAATCTATCCCTGATCATATTGGGAAGAAATAAACTTCCTTAAACTGACATGAAAATAAATAATCTGACACGAGAAGCCCCCCCCCCCCCTCCCGAATCTGACTGTATTTCCGTTCTTATTTATTTTTACTACAAGCGCCTCTAAACCAAAAGATCACCACTATCATTATATACATCAATGTAAACATTTGAATATCTACCCAATATGTCTTAACACTCAATATACAGATTACAGAATAGAAGTCACTACCCATATTAGATATTCTTTGGCATAAAATAAAAGTCAAGAGTTTAGCTTGTTTAGAATCTAGATTATGATATCATCATTTGGACAAGTACTGAACACATTTAAATGCCTAGGTAAATTCAAACAATTGAGATATTTCCTAAACACGTACTTGCATAGTCGCAAAACGGGCATGGGCGCTTTGGCCCGTCTAATACACCCAGATTCTCTTATGAACATTTATAGATCTTTATAAATTCAAAAAATTACTGGAATATGATAACTTTTAAAAATCGACCTGGAAGTATAGGCAGTGACACAATACTATCGTTCGAGTCATTCATTCATGAATATTCCTGTAAACAAGAAAATGCAATTTCTTTGTACAATCTTTTGCCGAGGCAATTCCGACAAATCCTGAACATTGTAGAAAACTTTTGCGAATTTGTTGACCTCTTCCACCAAGAATAAATAAAAATCTTAATCATCATGCATGTTCCAATAAATTAACTTCAATATATTTTCAATATATATTGTATGATGTTTTATTTGCCCACGTACATGTATATCAAAAAAGCCGGGATATTTATTTACATAATTTTATTTTACCAGGCATAATAATTTTTTGGGGGTGGGATGCTGGGATCTTTAAATTTTTTTTGGGAAGGGGTGGGTAGATCCAACCCTTTTCCAAAAGAAATGTTTTTTGATACATGAACATGGGAGAATCCTGATACTACCTGCCTGCCTGAAATTTTTTTTTATAGCAAAATACATGTACTATATTCCGAAAAAAGTCCCCCTTTTCCCATTCTTGTCTTTTCTAAAATTTTTTTTTTTTTGAACAATTTACCTATTTAAATAAAACTTCAATTACTAAACATAAAACCTATTTTACTCATATTTAGTATAAGCATTGATTTCCTTTTATCATTAAAGGACTTATCGCATGATTTTTCAAAAATCTTAATTTTATGAAAAATATTATCTACAACCTTGTTTATTAAAATTCTGAATACAATAAACGTTGTTGAAAGCATATTTTAAGAGATATTGAGAGTTGAAATTCAAATACGGCAATATGCATATTTCAGTCGGATTTCGGCGAAATACTGCTCTGACGTCATAGGCGACAATTCAGTGATAGAGAGATGAGAAGTTGCACACTATTTTCGAAGTTATCAACGACAAATGCAGCTTAATTATGAAAAATGCTGAAAAAAATTACTATAGAAACATTTTAAAACTAGTTCTAAGGTATAAGAATTTTGAGATATTTTCGTTTTTTATTCCAAACATTTAGAATCTGTAGGTCTGATTACGGCAATGTTTCGTGATCGGAAAATTATTTTTCAAGACCGCCATCCTTTACAAAACATATGAAAGCATACTCGCATAAATTAATATTATGTTAAAAACGAAGAATAACAAAGTTATGTAATATTAAATTTGTGAATCAAATAAGTTAATACATGTGATAAAATGACAAATCAAATTGTATTGTGATGGCGAGTTTCTTCGTCTTCGCCGCGTCTCCCTCCCTATCGTCGCTGCTATTTTTACAATGTTAACGGATTTTTCAGATTATTTCTTGCTGACAATTCTAAAATATAAGGTTGGATATTAAATTTCATATCAGTGATTTGGTTAAAGTTTTTCAAAAAAAAATTGTTATACAAGAGAAACAGCCTTGAATTGACCAGTAAGTAAATATTTTTGACATTTCACACATTCAATCTCAACTACAAAATAATTTCACAAACCAAAATTATGTAATATTTTATTTTGTAATGGAATCAGGTGACATTGAAATATTTGAGGGATAGAAAGGAAGAAAGAGTATACAGCAGAAAATTAGAAATGATATAATTTTACAATTGGTTTTTGATCCAAGATTCCTATATACAAAGCAGGACAAATATGCACATCACTAATAACACACAGACATGCAAGACCTTAGGAGTGAAACGGTTCACCGCGGTATCGATGCACCGCGGTATTTTTTCTCGGTTTGATACACGGTGCAAAATCTCTAATTTTCGGTTCGGTTCATTTTTCGGTCGGGATCGTTATTCAATCGGGTTTGGCATAAGGTATAACACGTTACTCAGAATAAATAAGTATAGAAAACGTAAATTTTTGATGACTGATAGCTTGTAAAATAATTTTTGACAGTCAAATAATTTTAATCAATTTCTTCTAGTCAATTTGCAAATAAAATTCGTAAAATATGTGACTAGATTTAGAAAAAGAAAGCATAAAACAACGTAGAATTTGTTTCCTTCTATCAATATGTATCGTATCGAAAATAACCGAACCGAGACAAAATTATACAATACGTATCGAACCGTGAAGGAGGTGTATCGTTTCACCCCTACAAGACCTTAATGCAGCTTATTTTTGTGGTTTTAAAACATACATGTATTTGGGCTGAAAATTCAGTTTATATATTAGGGAATCTGAATATCAATACTTGTAGTTCATTATAATTATGGGTGTAAAGAGTCACCAAATTGGGCACACATGCTCTGTACCCACAAATTAACTGCTTTGTATCATGCAAATAAAAAAATGAGCATCAACAAATTTAGACAGCATTAAAAACCAACACCTAGGTAGGCAAAAACTGATAAAAATATTCCTTCTGACATTTTAAAAACTCTGGTTTAAAGGACTAGTACATGTACTTACATGTTAACGTGCAATGAATTTTACCTAAAAACGATTTCATCATAGCCGTAAAGTAGCTACAATAATTCATGAACAGAACATTTGAAGTGTCTTTGCAGCAACATTATGGACTATTTGAAATGAAATGAAAATCTCTTGACAATACACATGTTCTACAAAGGTTTTCTACAATGTTTCTACAATGTGAATAATATTTCTTTATTCTACAATCAGTTATTATTTTGATTTCTTTTGGGCTGTACCAATACTACACTGGTTAACCTGAAAAAAAAAAGTAAACAGATACAAAAATGTATATCATGATCCTGAAAATAACTAGTACATAAATATTAAACACACATTAAAATACATTATTAAAATATTCTTTTACTATATTTTGGTCATTCAGTTGAAAAATTTATCAAAAAGGAAAAAAAAAAAGAAAAACAAGATGTGTTTGTGAAACACTGATGCCCCCATATGGTAGCTTATGGCAAAGGTTAAAGTTTCTCAAATGCAAGTCAAAATCCAGGCCAAAAGATAAACAAGAGGCCCAGGGGCCACATCGCTCACCTGAGCACTATGGCTAGGAAAATGCAGAAATCAGTTCAGTCTTGAAAGGTTGAAAAGTTTAAATAAAAAATTGGTTCGGGGGGGGGGGGGGGGGGGGGTCATGAATTGAACAAATTTGAATCTACATTATCTGAGGATGCTTCCATTTTAATATGACCAATCATGGCTTTGCTGTTCTTGAGTAGAAGAGTTTTAAAGATTTAACCTATGTGTTCCTATGTAAAACTTTGATCGCCCATTGTGGCCCCACCTGACCCCTGGGGGTCATGATTTGAACAAACTTGAATCTACATTATCTGTGGATGCTACCATATAAATATGACCATTCATGGCTTTGCTGTTCTTGAGAAGAAGATTTTTAAAGATTTTTCCTATATATTCCTATGTAAAACTTTGATCGCCCATTGTGGCCCCACCCGACCCCCGGGGGTCATGATTTGAACAAACTTGAATCTACACTATCTGAGGATGCTTCCATGTAAATATGACCAATCATGGCTTTGCTGTTCTTGAGAAGAAGATTTTTAAAGATTATTCCTATATATTCCTATGTAAAACTTTGATCGCCCATTGTGGCCCCATCCGACCCCGGGGGGTCATGATTTGAACAAACTTGAATCTACACTACCTGAGGATGCTTCCATGTAAATATGACCAATCATGGCTTTGCTGTTCTTGAGAAGAAGATTTTTAAAGATTTTTCCTATATATTCCTATGTAAAACTTTGATCGCCCATTGTGGCCCCACCCGACCCCCGGGGGTCATGATTTGAACAAACTTGAATCTACACTATCTGAGGATGCTACCATATAAATATGACCAATCATGGCTTTGCTGTTCTTGAGAAGAAGATTTTTAAAGATTATTCCTATATATTCCTAGTATGTAAAACTTTGATCGCCCATTGTGGCCCCACCCGACCCCTGGGGGTCATGTTTTGAACAAACTTGAATCTACACTATCTGAGGATGCTTCCATCTAAATATGACCAATCATGGCTTTGCTGTTCTTGAGAAGAAGATTTTTAAAGATTTTTCCTATATATTCCTATGTAAAACTTTGATCGCCCATTGTGGACCCACCCGTCCCCAGGGGGTCATGATTTGAACAAACTTGAATCTACACTATCTGAGGATGCTACCATATAAATATGACCAATCATGGCTTTGCTGTTCTTGAGAAGAAGATTTTTAAAGATTATTCCTATATATTCCTATGTAAAACTTTGATCGCCCATTGTGGCCCCACCCAACCCCCGGGGGTCATGATTTGAACAAACTTGAATCTACACTACCTGAGGATGCTTCCACATAAATTTCATATTTTCAAGCACAGTGGTTCTTGAGAAGAAGATTTTTTAATGATGCCATTAATTTTTCCCGATTTCTTAATTATCTCCCCTTGGAAGAAGGCATGGCCCTTCATTTGAACAAACTTGAATCCCCTTTACCCAAGGATACTTTGTGGCAAGTTTGGTTGAAATTGGCCCAGTGGTTCTTGAGAAGAAGATGAAATGTGAAAAGTTTACAACAACAACAACAACAACGACGACAATGACGACAGACAACGGACAAATTTTGATCAGAAAAGCTCACTTGAGCCTTTGGCTCAGGTGAGCTAAAAATGTTGGTACCCAAAGAAAGGTCTTGCCTCGAGGAATATACCTGTGAAATTTGAAAGCCCTAGCTGCAACTGTTCAAAAGTTATGGCGAAGGTTAAAGTTTTTTAAAAGTAAGTAAAATGTCAAGGTCAAGGCTGTTGGAATCCAAAGGAAGGCCTTGCCACAAGGATTACATATGTGAAGTATGAATGCCCTAGCACCAACCATTCAGAAGTTATGCCAAGGTTAAAGTTTTTTGAAAGTAGGTCAAACTCCTACGTCAAGGTCAAAGTTGTTGGTATCCAAAGGAAGGTCTTGTCACAAGGATTACATATGTGAAGTATGAAAGCCCTAGCACCAACCATTCAAATGTTATGGCCAAGGTAAAAGTTTTTCAAATCTAGGTCAAACTCCTAGGTCAAGGTCAAAGAGGTTGATATCCAGAGGAAGGTGATGTCACAAGGATTACATATGTGAAGTATGAAAGCCCTAGCATCAACCATTCAAAAGTTATGGCCAAGGTTAAAGGTATTCAAAAGTAGGTCAAACTCTTAGGTCAAGGTCAAAAGGTCAAAGTGGTTGATATCCAGAGGAAGGTCTTGTCACAAGGATTACATGTGTGAAGAATGAAAGCCCTTGCTCCAACCGTTCAAACGTTATGGCCAAGGTTAAAGTTTTTCAAATTAGTTCAAACTCCTAGGTCAAGGTCAAAGAGGTTGAAATCCAGAGGAAGGTCTTGTCACAAGGATTATATATGTGAAGTATGGAAGCCCTAGCTCCAACCGTTCAAAAGTTATGGCCAAGGTTAAAGTTTTTCAGAAGTAGGTCAAACTCCTAGGTCAAGGTCAAAGGGTCAAAGAGGTTGATATCCAGAGGAAGGTCTTGCCACAAGGAATACACATGTGAAGATTGAAACCCCAAGCACCAACTGTTCAAAAGTTATGGCCAAGGTTAAAGTTTTTTCTAAGGAGGTCAATTCCAAGGTCAAGGTCAAAAGGTCAAAGTTGTTGGTATCCAAAGGAAGGCCTTGTCACAAAGTATACACATGTGAAGTTTGAAACCCCAAGCACCAATTGTTCAGAAGTTATGGCCAAGGTTAAAGTCTCAAAAATTTTTGCAAAACTGGGTCAAACTCCAAGGTCAAGGTCAAAAGGTCAAATATGATGGTACCGAAAGAAAGGTCTTGTCACGAGGAATACACACATGAAATATGAAAGCCATAGCTCCAACCAATCAAAAGTTATGGGCAAGGTTAAAGTTGACAACAGACAGACAAACAGAAAGACAGGACAAAAACAATATACCCCCGGAATCTTTCGATCCGGGGCATAAAAAAGCATTGTCTTTAAAACAAAGGAAAGAAAATTTGTAATTTACCAAAGAAAGAAGCTTCTAATTTACAACAGTAGACACTGACCTTTGTGGCAAACCTAAGGGAGTTGAGGGTCTCCTGGAAACACTCTTCCTTGGGGGACACATTGACAAACATCAGAGTCTTACTGTTCCCTCCCAGAGAGTTCTGGAGGAGGTATGTCAGCTTAGACTCTCTATACGGGATGTATCCGTCCTATAAAAGATTGTAAAGACCAATAATCAGAAAACATTGATTAACGAGGAAAAAAAAGCTACTGATTCCAATGAAAGATTATTTTTACATAATCAATCACCAGATTCACTAATCTTATAGAATGCATTCTGGAATAAGGACATTTTCTTATCCACTTAAAATGTGCTGTAAGAATAAAAATGGCATCTAACATAAAGTTAAGGTGATTAATAATGAAAAAGTTCTCATAAAGTGCCACGGCAGCAAGACATGAAAATTACCCGCTAATGCAGAACTGAAGAAGCATTTAAAACCTTGCAAGATTATGCTTTATAAAATAAAGGTCTAACTTTTGATTATAATCAGCAAAATCACATCAGAAGTATGTGGCAACTGATTTCAACCACTGATTGATTTTAAAAAAATAAACCCATGTCCCTTCACTAAGGACCATTTCAGATACATGCAATATGTGTAAAATACAAGTAGCAGAGTTTAATATCCATTGCATCCAAGTCCGGTAAAAGGACATTGTTCCAGTTTTTCTCCCGAATTTAGGTAAAAATTTCCAAATTGCAAGCATATTGAATTTTTTGGTGCTTTTCATATAAAACAAAACTTTAATTTTGAGATAATAATGATTCATAAAGATGTAAAAGGGGAATAAGCCTACACTCTTGCTCTTTAATCTCCAGTTAAACATACATGTTGTACAAGTCATCAACATTTCCAAATTTTGCTACTTTATTGATTTAAAATTCCCTACTGATAGGGTACAGGACCCTGTACAAAAAAGGGCCAATTAAGGACCGTCTATACACTAAAGAGAAAGATTTTTTGGACATTGAGAAAATTATAGTGTGTAAAGGTCTAAATATTGAGCTTATCTATTACATTTTCAACACAGGGTACCTTGCATTTACCCATAGGAAAAATGTTCAGACAATGAACAACTGATAAAGAGAAATCTCTGTTGTTAACTTAAGTGGGCAAAATACATACAAGTGAAGTGTTCTATATATTCATCTTGGCCTATTAAAATGTTATGCTTGGTTTGATCACAAATTAAGTAATAAACTGAACATTTCAATTTATTTTATTGTAAATCAAAGGGCAGATTACTCTTTCTGCATAAAAATACCAAGAACTCTTCAGTGTGCAGTGTATAGAGGGCTCTTAAGCCCTGAGTATAATCATTAAAACAAGAAGTTAATTTGTAAATTAAAATGAAAGTCTAGATGATAATAGCAATAGCTGAATATTTGTACATGTATTGTTCTTTGTTTTTCCAGATATAAAAGTAAAACAATTAATTAAAAGGCAAAATCCCATATACATGTACAACAATTTTGTTCTTGAAGAAATATAAAATCTCTGTAAAACAAAATTCCTCATGAATTACTCCATACTATAAAATGCAGTTCATTTAATGGGTCTGTCAGTGTTAATACCTTGTTGGCGATGGCCATGATGACTTTACTCAGTGTACTCAGACTCTTGTTAATGGCCTGTGTCTCTTTAAGTCTGGCTCCCTCTGATCCTGACTCCTTCAGTCTTTCACTGCCAGCAAGATCCACCAAGTTCAAGGTTCCTTGTAAAGAATACTTTATTTAACTAGAACTGTCCAAAAGGGACAAATACCCCCCGCTGGGTTTTTCAGAGAAGGTACCAAATCACTAATGTTTTCTAGATGTGAGAGGTGTTCACAATTTGCTTAAACATTTAGAGTGAAAATTTAATTGCTCATTATATTTTTTTTAATGAATGAAACTAAGGTGCAGCCTAATAAAACATCAATACTAATAATTACAGTGTTTTTTATTACATTGAAAAAATAGTTCGCAACTATCTGTCATCTTTGTGAGACATGACACTCTGCAAATTGATTGTTGAAAAAAAAATTATCATAATTAATTATACAAAATCAAATTGATCTTAATACCTTTATATCAAACTCATTTTAAAAATAAAAGGCTGGTTCCAGTAACTATGTATTTTGACAGACATAAATTACAATTAAGAGACTTAGACAACAGAGATCTTTATTTCTTTCTGCCCAATTCCCCAGAGATATAGATAAGACCTGCTTGATCAGAGATGCCCTAACAGCTTCCCACACTGAACTCATTAATTAATCTTTAACTGGATGCATGTCCACTCATTACTCCCAAGGGACAAATGGATTTACACTATCTGCTGTGTAATGTAAAAACTGTTTTTAATACTTTGTGATTTTTTTTTAGTTCTAATGAGTTCTTTTAAGCTGTGGTTCACATTTTTGTACAGATGTTCTAGATTCTATGTCTCAAACCTTAGACATGAACCCAAAATGACTAAGTCAATAAAAATGAAAAAAAAAACAACTGTAAAATGCAGAAAAATTATCAAATGATGTTGAAAATACCAGGTGCACATCTTCATATAGTAAATAATAAGTGTACAAATTTTCATACAAATCTATGCAATAGTCTCTGGGAACAGATCCGGACAAAACCACATAATAAAAATGAAAAAAACACCTGTAAAATGCAAAAAAATTATCCAATCATGATGAAAATACCAGGTGCACACCTTCATATGGCAAATAATAAGTGTACAAATTTTCAGACAAATCCTTGCAACAGTTTCCAAGAAATGGTCAGGACAAAATCTCGTCTACAGACAGACGGACAGACAGACAGACGGACAGACAGACGGACAAGCTGATTCCAATATACCCCCCCTAAACTTCGTTTGCGGGGGGTATAATAATTTGATGCCATGAATACCTATATGACCTATAGATCATTGATAATAAATGTTGTACTGTATACAGGGAAATTTATGCCAAATTTGCCCTTGTCACATGTGGGCGAATTCAAGAAAGACAGCATTAGTTCTTAAACACAACTGTGTCTGGGTGAATTCAAAACTGGGGAAATTTGTTCGCAAGTGTGAAAGGGCAAAAATAACACAGGTTGAAAATAACCCTGTACACAGTATTTGATGTAAGTAAAAGAAAGAAAAGTTACTGACAGAAATAATCCAGCTTGAAAAGGTTCTAGTTTAAATGTAACTATAGTCTAGTCTTACCAATACATGCCTCCTGTGTGTTTCTGTTGACCCCCGAGATCCGGAGCCTGAACACACTATGACTACGAGATGATCGCTCATTACACTTTGTCTCGGCTACAGCGCGGTTGTGCGAGGCTTTTCGCAGTAATTCATGGACCTACAAATCATTTTTACAACAATGTACATCTATGTATTACAATGGTCTCATAAATGTGGTTGGCACCCAATTCCTGGCTACACATAATTCTGGCTACATATAAACCAGGGGCCCGTTTACAAAAGAACTTACGACTAAGATCAAAATTTAATTCTGCCTTTAACTTTTTAATATACATTATATTGAAAATGGTTTTAATCTTCATAAATGAAATGTAGTAAGATATTTTTACAATAGCAATTTTAAACAGATTCATTAATTTTGCAAAAGTTTACAATCAACTAAAGTTTTCAGTCTTAGTCGTAAGTTCTTTTGTAAAATGGACATTTGATCTGAATCTATGCATAGAATGCAGATCAACATTTAATATATTAATTGTGGAATTATACTTATAGTACACTGTATATTTAAATGTGAACTTTCTTTAGGTGTTAAAATGTTATCAAACTATAAGATGCTGCTATAAAGGAAATTAATTTTTATCAGAGAGAGAGAGAGAGAGAGAGAGAGAGAGAGAGAGAGAATCTTGCCCACTACATACCTGATCTTCTGAGGTCACTGTGACAGATGTTAAATTGGTCACCATCACATCTTTCTTATCTGATGATCCAGTCATTTTAATATCATGTTTTAGGTCATCACTGTTGTTTCCAAGAAGATCTCGGATAGTTTCATTGTAAATCTCCAGGAAAGAAGCCTCAAATTCATACTGATAAATAACGAACAGTTTATTATGTACATCTTGCATGTATTCTATTTATGTGAATCATATTTTTATTAGTATATATTGTATGCAAAATGAACACTGAGAGGAATTGGACATAAGGCTATGTGCTTAGGAGCCTTAACATGACTTCAACCCTCAGTTTCTTGTATTACATTATTACTAGGCACTGGTCACATAACTCTCTTTCCCACCTTTAGTTGTCAAGGACCAATCTACACACAAAGTTTAAGAGACAAAATGTCCTTATGAGCAAATCAGGGAGGTTTTCACATCAAGTAGACTGTATACATGTACTAAAACTTTATAACACATTTCTTATTTTTCTTTTTTGGTCCAATTTTAGTTCCAATTTCAATAACTACAACTAAATAAGACAAAATACTGTATAGTCCATACACTTACATGTATATGCTTATGACAGGTACTTCTACTTGAGAACAAAATCAAGCCCCCTACCTGCCAACCTTTGCTAATCAGGTCCTGGGTACTCTCAAATATCTGAACCACAGCCCTGGGGATCATTCCAGTCTGCTCTGGGCTGAACTGTGAAGGCCCCTCCATTGTGTGTGTCTTACCAGAACCAGTTTGTCCATAGGCAAAAATACAGACATTGTACCCATCTAAAGCACTCTGCAAGATATTACAGATATATACAAGTAAACATTCTTCCCTGTGTATGTCAAGATGTTCATTATATAAATTTTCTCATGTTTACAAAAGAGTGTTATTTTTCTATTTTTGTGTGAAACTCATGTAAGTAAAGCTTTTTCCCCACCAAGTGTCAAAGTAATTCTGTAAAAATTAAGCCCCCCAAAAATTTGTCTTCTTTTGCCTCCTTTGAGTTTGACTTTTATAGGACAAAGCTCCTGCACATTTGAAATAAATGTCATGTACATGTAAATGGTCCAAATTATTTTTTCACAACTATAGTCAGTATGGTGACAGAAAATAAATGAAAAGCAGTCAAGGCACTTAATCACCTTCCCTATCACAGGGGCATAGAAAATGGTGTCAATTGTGTCTTACAGATACCCATACCTGTACAAGTTGACATATTTCCTCAAACACCTGAGCTTGGGTGCTGTCAGGGTTAAATACCTTGTCAAAGGTAAACTCATACTTGTTGTTTCCTTTCCTGTTTGCTGTCAAACAACTCTGTAGTATAAAAATTAATAAAAATCCTCATATATACTCATATCAAACTTAGACTGGTGAAAAACTACTTTGACATTTTTCTTTTGAACTTTCATCATTTTTTTTTTTTTTTTTAATTTTTTTTAATTTTTTTTTTTTTTAACATTAAACCCTCATAGTCATTTTCTAATGAGGCATTTTCCAATTTAATTGATAATATTACATCCACACTAACCTCATTCAGGGCAGCATCAGAAATTTTTTCCAGCTCCAGTATCTTGCCGTCTACGTCTGGGAAACCCATGTGATGTATTGTACCATCACTTCCCAGTAACTCATCTCCAAGCAGAGGACGGACTCGACAAAACACTCGGATATTTCCCTAAATTAATAATTACATAATTGAATGATAAATGTTTGTCAGCATTCACAGAATTACTGTATACTTTACTGAAGATTTATGATACATTTGCAGAGACAAATTTGACATCTAATAACAGTTACTTGTTGAGCTTAACATGCACATCTGTATAATTTGACATATCTTAGAGACATATGCATGTATTATATTTTTTTCAATTCCTTAATTTTCTATCAAAAATATTAATGAATTCTTTTTATACAGAATATAAGCTAAATTTTGATTTGCATACTTATAAATCCATAATTTCATTTTTCATGTATATACATGTAGTACACTTTCCTTAAAAATTACATTCTGATCACTAGAATTAAACTTCAACAGTCTGAATACAAACCTTTAGCTCCTGAATTGTGTTGTGGAGTTTACGCCTCATAGTTTCATGTTCTTGTTCTTTGATTTTAAAATTTTCTATCTGAGTCTCCATGTCTGCCAATAGCTGCTTGAGTTCAGCTATTTTATTGTCTTTTTCTCGACCAGCACTTTCAGACTGTTGAAGACTGATCTGTAGAGCCATAAAAAATACAATTACTGGTATCTAAAGTAGGTTAACAGAAAACCACCTGGGATAAGTTATTACATTTTTTTTACAAAAAAATTTCTAAGAGTAGGATGTGGTCCAAAACTTTGTCTAGGTAGTAGGTATCAAATTTTATTCTGTATGAGGAGGCCTTAACATTATAATTGCACCCCCACTTCTTGAGTTAAATTTCAATGCCTGCATGGATGTGCCAAATCTGTTTTATCAGTTTCAAATATTTTGAAAATGCTTTTAAAGGACTTATTGCATGGTTTTTAAAAAATAGTAATTTTATGAAAAATATTATCTATAACCCTGTTTATTAAAATACTGAATACAATTAACGTTGTTGAAAGCATATTTTAAGCGATATTGAAAGTTGAAATTAAAATACCGCAATATGAATATTTCAATCGGATTTCGGCGAAATACAGCTCTGACATCATAGGCGACAATTGAGTGGTAGAGAGATGAGAAGTTACACACTAATAAAGGGCTTATCAACGACAATGCAGCTTAATTACAAAAAATGCTGAAAAAATTAATTCCTAAAGTGCTTTTCAATTACTTTATAAACATTAAATAGTTCCCAGGTATAAGGTTTTTGGGATATTTTTGGGTTTTTTTTATTCCAAACATTTAGAATCTGTAACTCTGACGGCCATGTTTCGTGATCGGGAAACAATTTTTCAAGACCACCATCCTTTTACAAAATACACGCATAAATTAATATTATGTTTAAAACGATGAAAAACAAAGTCATATAATATTAAATTTTGAATAGAATGGGTTAATACACATAATATGATGACAAATCAAATTCGTATTGTAATGGCGAGTTTCTTCGTCTTCGCCGCGTCTCCCTCGCTATCGTCGCTGCTATTTCACAATGCTTACAGATTTTTTTTCATGCTGACAGTCCAAATTTATGAGGGTGGATATTTGATTTTGTATTTAAAAAAAAATCAGGGATTTGGTTGTCCATAACGCAGAAAATTCAGTTTGTGTCGGGTATTTTTTAGTAAGATTAACGTGAACAGCTGATCAGCCATTGTCGTCTTTGACGTCACGTGATCGCTATCTAATTAACTTAGATTTTTAAATCATGGGTTTTGATTTGAGTAAATAATTGGTTAATTACCACGATTTATCCACAGTAAAGACACAAAATTCATAAACTGTGCTTATAAGGAATGTTATAGGCTTATAATTTCAAATAATTTAGAAACATGCGATATGTCCTTTAAATGTTCATGTAAGTCTGGTACTGTTTTTTAAGTGTCAAAATGTACAAATAAAATGAAAACAGAACTTTTTAATTGATGTCAGAAAAAGAATTTACTGAATTGAAATTGATTATTCAGTCCTTTTTTTATTACAAGGACACAAACCTTTGTAGCATCGAGTTGTGCTGCTATGCCAACCTGAGCAGTTTGAAGCTCTGCTACAGAAGATTTTAGTCCTGTGATTTCTATAGTTTTAGCACTGACTTCTCCCTCTAAAGAATCTTTTTGTCTTTGTAAATTGTCCCTCAGAAATGTAATGTTGTCAATTTCCATCTGCAGTCGACGTTTCGTTTGGTCAAAATTAGTCTCCTGCTCTCTGCACAAAACATCAAAATATTTAAGTCATTTTGATGACGAAAACAATCATGCACAAAACACTCATATATAGTTTCACTTCAGACATTTTGATATGATCCTGATAGGAATGCCTATAAAACAATCTTCTCAATGAAGAATATTTTTACTGTCTTAATTTATCCCATGTGTAAATCTGAGAGACAATCAAACCTATTTTGCTATTTTTATCTATCCCTTGTAAATCAGGCAGATAATCAAACCTAATCTGTCTCTGATATTCCTCGATTTGTTTAGAAGCCCCGTGTACAATTTCCTCTTTGTGCCTGACATCTCCGTACAGTTTATTTTTCTCTGACTCTAGACTGGCGATACGAATATTGTAATCCTGTAACTGAGATTCCAGGCTGTCTCGTTTGGAAGACTGTTTGTTCAGTAGTTCCTCCATGTCCTGCAGTCGACCTTTCAAGTCCCATGCTGGCCTCTTTGCTTTGGTGCCTACATAAATAAATGAAGTCTAGCGTGTTGATTAAAGCATCATTGTAATATCATAGGTCTATTTAAGTTATTAATGATACATGGATTTGTAAAATGAACAATATAACAATGCTATGCCATAAAGAGTTTTAATCTTGAAAAATGCCACAATACAAAGTTTCCAATATGTTAAAGAATTTGAGTAGCACCAAGAAAATTATATTGGATGACTAGTGAAAAAATGAGTTTTTGACAGAGTACCTGTGGCCTTGGGTACTGTGGGACCCACAGGGGGTTTCTTGTTACCTACACTTGTCTTAGAAGCTGATCCTACATTTGACTTGGGGGCTGCAGAAAAAAAAACAAAAAAAAAACAAAAGAAAACATTTTAGTGTGTATCAATTGGAATTACCTTAAAAGTAATCTCAGAAATTTGCAAGGGTCATAATCAGTATAATCTTTCTTTTTAATGATAGTACTTCAGATAATTATATCCTTAATCATTTTAATGAAATGTATATGTAACTTTTCATATTTGTGGGTATAATCTTTTCACAAAGTATTTCACACTATGTGACATACTTGCCACCATATGATTATGAGCAAATTCAAAAGTATGCATTAGATAATACACATGCACACACTGGGTAATTTTATTCAAGCTCCTCAGTAATCTTAGTATGACTTGTTTAGAAAGTAAGATGTATAAGACTGTGAAAATAAATAAGGACTAAAATTCCAGGTTTTTTTTTTAATGAAACAACTTGTCAAAGCTTTGAGAGGTCATCCTTTAAAACTCTTTCAATCATTATGTATCCCAAGATCTCCTTACTTTTCTTTACTGCTGGTCTCACCACACCTGTAGTTGTTCTGTTGAGAACTGAGTTAGAACGCAAGCTTCCTGTGCTGTTACTTGACCGGAAACTATTATTCAAATTGGTTTTACCCACTGACTGAATGCTTGTGTCATGGAGATTTTCTGTGGATGCACTAAGTATTTTCCTCCTCTTTTCTGTTGCTACCACCTTTGTAGAATTCTGTCAAATTGCAAACATGACAATTAAGCAAATCCCTTTATATACAATGTCATGCTTTATCAATTAGAGACAAAAATATTATACAAAAGTCATATAAGTATGAAATATACCTTGATATATAATCAAGAGTTTTCGAGGCATTAGTGGTTATGTATAATTTAGTGTCATTGCCAGGCTTTGACAAAGTAAGTTTTTATTCATCTTTAAACACAAGGAAGACATTTGTATTTAGAAAAATTGTCAAAATGTGTGCACTGTACCAAATTCAATGAATGTACTAGTCTAGACAAACTACCAAAATGGAGTCACAGGAAATAAGAATGAGATGGTACATAAAGTCTTCGAAAAAGATTGTATAATTAAATTTGTTAGTTTTCCAATTCTTTTTGCAGTAAGAGTTATTTATTTTCAAAGTTGATGTTTCACAAGAGATCAATTACATTGAGAATAATAGTTATGAAGTAAATATTATAGCAAAATAAAAGAGTAAAATGTGCATTTTTAGAAAAATTAAAAATACCAGAAAAAGTTTTACGTATAAACAATGAGAACACATGACTGATATTTATACAATATCACGCATGTTATGTGGAAACAATTAAAATAGATAACAACCTCATCAGGACTGCGGGCTCTCTTCTTAGCACTAAATGTGGGTAAGCGACTTCTAGTTGCAGCTGGAATTTTCTTATCCTGCTCATTAAACAATAATAAACATATCAATACATTTACCAATATTTACATTTGCTATGTTTTTTCTACTAAGCGAACTGAAACTGATTTGTATGCCATTTTCGTGTATACTCACGCGTAGAAATATGCACGGAGAAACACGTGCTAAAGTGACGTCACAATGAGCTACAGAGACGTTAATAAAAATGTTACAATATAGGGCAGCGAATAATTCAAACATTGGGTATATTTTTGGTGCTTTTGAACATGTAAAATATAAATATAAGGAATGTTTTTAAGTTTAGAGTGAATTATTGATGTGTAAATCACACAGACTTGTAGGTAGGCATATTTTTCATGAAGCGCTACTGCGCTTCATGAAATATGCCTATGTGACAAGTCTATGTGATTTACACACCAATAACTCACACAAAACTTAAAAACATTCCTTATATTGACCATATTGACAGTCATGACACCCAAAAAGTAATATTTCCTCAGTCATTACAACTATTGTTGTGACAGATTTCATTGCCATGTCAAAATCTTATTCTCTGTTGTTTTCAATCGTGACTAAAGTATATAAGATTAAATAACCTGTGATTCTGCCATCACTTCTAATCCTTTCTCAGTTTACAATATTATTCTCACTTCGAATCTTGTGGGTAAAATATAACATAAACTTTCATTGGTCATTTTGTAAATGAATACTCAACGCTGATTGGATAATTTTAAGAATTAGTTCAGTCGTACCTCAGCAAACTCGTATCTATTTCGACTTTGATCAAAAGTACAAATACAGTATTTCTTTGTTCTGTCCAACCATAGACCAGAAACCGACTGAAGAAATTTAGTGTAAGTTATGTTTAGATAACGTAAAACAGAAAACAAATGAGCCATAGCCCTACTGATTGCAGATGTCTTCAAATAATTTTAAATTTGCCGCGTCACGCACCTGATTTTTTTTTTACGACCTTCAATTATTATCAAACTGACGTTAATATTTAAATTTTTGTTATTTAAACCTATATTTTAAATGTTCTTTGACGTGTCATTAAAATTAGGATAGCTTATTAATAAATGATGAATATCGTATGTTTTTCATAAATCACGACAACCAGATTAAGAAAGCTGGTTGCTATACAACAATTTTATCCCAGGAATTATTGAGGAAAAAGTAAATATCCAGTAAATTTTTCAACATTGAGAAAATATGGTAAGAAGAAACATTATTTCGTTATAAGTTATTGTTCTCGGTACATTGTAACAACCAAATCATTATTACACGGACCAGTATGTTGCTTCTGTTCGGAACCGAATTTTCTCAGATTTTATCATTTAGTGAAGTGGTATATAGATCTTGCAAATCGGTTTGACCTAGATAGCTCAAATGGTAGAGCACCTAACTAGAGATGCAGGGGTCTTGGGTTCGCTTCCAGGTCTTTTAGCATTCTTTTGCTATGTATATATCTTTCGTTGTTTGAATATAGTTGATCCCAGATGTCCCCATCTTTCCATTCACATGATTCATGAACCTGGTGGGATTTAAATAACTACAAAAAGAAAAAGATAATGGTATGGAGAAGGAAAATATTGAAAAAGATGATAAATGGAGATAAGTGTCCCCATATTTTCTGGACAGTGCAGAGTGCCTCATATAAACTAAATACTCTCTGAGACTTGCAAAGATATATAACTTAATAGGTGCGTGGTGGAGCTGGAAGAATTAAGAAAATATTCTATTGTGTTATTATTAATAAAATAGCCATTTCTTTCTGTCTTTTTTAATATATCAAGTTGTTTGTAATTAGGAAAGAAATATGGCCAGAGACTGCTGGATTAACAGTTTAGAAATGGGAATGGATATAGAATTAATATAGGGGGCAGGTGCTTTGTAACTGCCTTATTGCTATGTGTGACAATGTATGGATTGAAATAATTTGTATTCCCAATGTATTTTAAATTTAAGCCTCCAAAGCCAAAACTTAGCAAGGCTGAAAAGGAGAAACTAAAAGCTGAGGAAGATTTACGGAAGGCAGCAGAGGAAGGTATATATAATCCAATAGATGATGACGCAAATTCAGAAAATTAAAGAATTTAAGAGAATGTGAGAAATACAAAGTTTTTGTTTGCATGTCCACAAATAACTTCCATTTATTTTTAACTAGCAAACATACAGTGACATTTCAGACTTTTCACTTCATATTATTTTGCATTTATCAATTTTTTATAAAATGTCTTAATCAAAAATGGGGTTAATTTGGCAATGATTATCTGTGCGTATATCTTAATGTTTGTCTGTAGAGCATAAACAAATAAATGAATAGCAGTGAATTTTCAGAATTAATGATAAGCACCTGCTGTGTTTTATTTGGATTGACTCAGTGTTGTTTTGTTAAACAGAGGAACTAAAGGCAAAGCAGGAGGAAGAACTCAAAGAAAAGAAAAAGAAAGAAAAAGAAGAAGAAGCAGAGAAAAAGAAAAGGGAAAATGAGGTGGGCTTCAATGATTAAAAAAACCTATTTATGGCCAAGGTTACTGAGTATGTGTGTGCTATTATCACTTTGATGTAATTGTAAAGATAATATTGGAATGTAAGAAAGACTTTTTTTTGTAATCTACAGGAAAAGAAAGACAGGCGAGTTGAAATGACTCAACTGAATGCCATCCTCCAAAGTAACAGAGAGGCACTTCAGAATCTTCACAATGAAAGACGAAAGCAAATGAAGGTACATGTTCATCAATAATCAATAAAAAAGTTATACATTAAATTCCATAATGATTCAAGGATAGACCCCTCTCCCTATTTGCTATGAAATATTTAGGGCTTAATTAAATAATCCTGTTAAGAATTCTGTTTAATTAATAAAGAGTTGGTTATTAATTGCATCTGAAAATCCTCTTTTAGTGGAACCGGTACATGAGATGTGATGGTTCTCCTGACCCAACAAACCAAGGGGAGATAAATACATACATAAATCTTAGAATGGAAGACACTGAACATGATGATATTGAATCAGTCTTCAAAGCGAGTGAATTAGACACAAAGGTAAGTCTTAAATGGTCAATGTGAACAATTCTTGTTTTATTTTAGAGAATATGTGTACTAGATCTTAATCCTGTATTTCAAGTGTATTTTTTTCATTTTTAACTGTTATCCCTGTAAAACTGTGTGAGTATAAGAATGCATGACTGTTTTTATTGTTAAGAATTAAAGCTGTCATTATTAAATAAGGTCCTTATTATCGTGTATTAATTAATCTGTAACTGTAATAATGATGATACAAATAGGATACTCAGAATATAACCCACACTTTTTCTCTTTATATTTTAACAGCTAATAATGGAATTGAACTTTTTACTGGAGGACACACCACCAGAAGAAATAACTGACAGAGAAAAATTTCTGTACAATCAGGTAAGAACATCTTGATTATCTAAATCCAAATGTGAAATCAATGCAATGTCTATTGATAATTAAAAATTCTTTTTTTGCTAGTAAATTTTTTATTGATAATGTTATGTTTTTTACTGTAAATTAATTATTAAAGGTCTATTGACTGATATTCATATCTGTATAATAAATAATTTTGTAATTTTATTTTAGATAAAGGAAGAGTTACAGGCCTTGATCAAAAAGAAGATGGATGCTGCCACGCTCCGTTTGTTACAAGAAGCAACAGACCGTGCCGACTCAGAGACCTTTAACCTTCAGTTTGAACACAAGAGTCCTGATGTGTGCCTAAGTATTTGGGGAAATCTCAGTAAAAATCCCAGGTTCGTGATCTCTACCTGTGTTGAATTAAAAGTTACATTATAATTCTTCTTAGGGAAGAATTAAACTTTTTGGGAATGACAGGTACAGAGAATTCTTATGTTGTAGGAAAGTTTCACTATATACTTGTACTATTAACAACACTTTTGTTCTCACATTTAGTAAGTCTAAAAAGCATAAGTAATACATATTGCAGGTTGTCTACAAAAATTCATGATTTTCAATTCTAATGATATCACAACTCAAGCATAGAAGTTATTATTGACATGGAAGAAATTTTGTTAAGTGTGTATATCCTGGATTATCTGTCATGTTTTGATATCTCTGTATGACAAAATCTTTTATAAACTTTCAGGATAAAGTCATTTGAGTTTGCCAAGCAGGGCCTGACATTTGAAATACCCAGAGTGCTATGTTTGTCAGACTGTGCAATTCGTGTGTTGGATCCTAAATATGACCACTATTCACCTACATGTAAAAGCTTCTACCCAAGACAAAAGGTCAAAAAAGGTAAGAAAAAACTCGCAAGTTCATTCTCTGTTGACTTCCAAAAAAAATTACATAAATATAGAGAGTTATTAAAAAAAATCTTGTCATTGTCCTGTACATGGGGGATAGATGCCAATCAACTAAATACAGTCAGATTTTGGTATGTGAAACTCCACAAAGCAAATTGAGCCCACATTTTCAACTACAGTTTGAGTTGTAACTAAATTATGTTGAAAACATGATCTCAGAGTTCTTTGTCAATCCTCATGATCCTTCTGAGTTTGAAATATGAAAGCTTAACTGTATTGAGAAGAATGTATAAATTTATGATCATAAAGGGAAAACTTTTAGAAAACAATTGGTAATTTTTAAACTGTTGTTGTAAGTTGAGACCCCTGTTGAGGAAGCCAAGCCTGAGGAAGGGGAGGAAAACAAGGAAGAGGAAAAGAAGGAGGAGGAGCCTGAGGAAAAAGAGAAGGAGCCAACAGTAAGTAGGGAGGGGCAGGGACAGGGCACTGACCCAGAAAAACGCTATCTTAATTTTTTATAACTGAGTAGAGGGACAGGAACTGTTCCAGAAAAACTGTATCATATATTTCTATAACTGAGTTGAATTTATTCAGAGAAAATACATATACATTGTTTAAACTGTTTAATAGAAAACTAGCTAGGGTGAAATATGTAACTTATAGTTTGAATGAAAAGGAAAATTTTCTATTTCAGCTGATCTTTTTGGTTAATATAAAGAATTAGAATGAAAAGAAACAGAATTGAAAACTTAGACAAATTTAAAGTAAAAAAAAGAAAAAAGCATAGCATTGGCATGTAAAAATCGAAAGAATTATAGAATGATATTAACCTTCATTCACAATTTCTCTTTATATATAACAATACAAAAAAAACTGTCTCCCTTTGCATCTAGATTGTATTGATAGTGTCTAACAAAGTACCGGTAAACCTCATTTCTTTGAAATTAATTATTAAAATTATATCATTATATATAAGTTGCTTTAAATACTTATCTTAGTATGCATGGAAGAGATACAGAAATGAACTTTTCGTGTATAACAAGGTCCCTTGATGAGTTCCCTCCATTGAACATAAACTGCAAAAACATTATCATGTGAATTATACACATTTCTATTGAAGGATTATGCACTTGAGTCAATTGTAAGTTTTCCATAAAAAGTTTGTAGCATCTATTTAGTGACTGGTATAGCTTTAACTTTATATTCATTTCACATTTTATAATATATTACACATTTAGTATACATGTACTTTATTAAATATGTGATATTGTAGAGGTATATAATTATTATAACATATTGTTATTATTTCGACACTGTAAGTTATTATTTCATCACATCTTGTTGAATATGATTTTTTTAAGTGTAAATACATATAATGGTGTAAACCCATTAATTTGTGATTTTTTTAAGCAGTGCACATTTGGGAAAGGTTTTCTGTTTTGTTCTTTTGATCACAAAGGCTTCTTTGGGTGAACACACTTGTTAGGATCAGTAGGTTGTGGAAACGCACTTAACTGGACAAACTCCGGGAACACTTAGTACACTGCAAGAGTCTTCTATTTTTTTTTGTTCAAAGGATAGATCACTTTATATTGCAATTCAGTCATCTTCTTATATTTCCTAATTTTTCATTAATTCTGAGAGTATTTCAATGAATGACTTGGGGGAAAAAAATCATGACTGCTATACCTTCAACTGAGGATGATTTTATGTTAGATATATTTTTGAAGTTGACCATAAAAATGACTGAGAAATCTAAATTTAGTCTCTACACATGTCAGTCATTCTCACTGTAATTAATGTTATACTGAGTGATGTTTGTTTGTAGCTCTTTGTAGGCATTGCATGCACATTTTTCTCTTGAATATTGTGTTAGATATTTTTGTTGAGTTACTATTGTTGTGATTAAATGGTGGTGAAAAACACCATTCACCTGTCATAAAAATGAAAATATTGAAGAGACTGCTTGAAGACTGAACTTTTAATTAATATTTTTTTTTGCAACAATTTTTAGACTGAAGAAGGAAACAAACCGGTATACAGGACCATATATTCTAGAATTGTTGAAACTAATCTAAAAACTAAGTTCTGGATTCATCTATTAATAGGGAAGAGTTTACTGTAAACATGCAAATGTTCCTTGTGGCAAAAACTTGGTACATTTAGTAGTTAACAAAAAAATACTGAAATTAACTTTTATGTTAAAAAAAATTGTGTTTTCTTTTTTTCATTCTATTCATAGTTCTTTATGAAAAAATAATTCTCATGCAGAAGGTTCAATACATAAAATACAATGTATATCCCTAATAAAACATTCATGTTTACAATAATTCCTACTAATGGAGTTCTACAAAAGACAAAATTTTATGAGCGTTCGACTTTAGTCATTTCCGAGTTGAAAATAATTGAAAATTAACAAAAATTTATTGTTGAGTTTTTAATTTTGTTAACTATTGTACTGGACTTTGGTAGATTAAGTGCATGGGCATGTACGTTGTATGTAAACTATGTTCCAGATTTTCATAAATTTGCTTGGAGTGACATAAAAACAGTGAAGGAAAGGTGTTCCATTGAAATAATTCCATTTAACTCATTGCTTTTTTTTTGCACAATGAAATAACCAGTTTCCATTTTAAATGCCTGTATTTTCAATATGTTAAAGACAAATTTCATTTTTATCTTTTTGAAGTATAGTACAAACTAAGAAAGTCATTTCCTCTTATGATTGCAGATTGTCTCAAACTGTGTTTAATTTTTTTTTTATCTCTGATGTTCCTAGGATTTAATGGCTGCTCTGGCTGAATTGGAGGATGGACCAAAAGAAGAAGAGGAAGAAACAGAGAAAAAGGAGGAGGAAAAAGAGGAGGATATTGAGGAATATGAGGAGCCTAAAACTCCTGGTAAGTCCTACAGGACTCGATAAAACTCCTAGTCATACAGGACCCAATAAAACTCCTGGTAAGTCCTACAGGACTCGATAAAACTCCTGGTCCTACAGGACTCGATAAAACTCCTGGTCCTACAGGACTCGATAAAACTCCTGGTCCTACAGGACTCGATAAAACTCCTGGTCCCACAGGACTCGATAAAACTCCTGGTAAGTCCTACAGGACTCGATAAAACTCCTGGTAAGTCCTACAGGACTTGATAAAACTCCTGGTAAGTCCTACAGCACTTGATAAAACTATTGGTAAGTCCTATAGGACTCGATAAAACTCCTGGTAAGTCCTACAGGACTCGATAAAACTCCTAAGAAGTCCTACAGGACTCGATAAAACTCCTGGTAAGTCCTACAAGACTTAATAAAACTCCTGGTAAGTCCTACAGGACATCATTGCACTCCTGGTTAGTCCTATAGGACTCAAGGGATTCCCATAATGATCCTTAAACTTTAGCTAAATCCTAGACACCAAAACATCAAGTATATCTTAGAGGACCTGGCTCGCTTAAATCCAGGTACATGTAAACAAAAATGATCCATTTGACATGTTGTGTCCCAGACATAGACGCAGATTTAGTTTCAAAATTCCAAGTAATTAATAGAGAGCTCATGCTTCAAAAATCTAGGTAAATTCTGAAGGAATCAGGTGCCAAAACCCATAGGTAATTCTTAAAGGACTCAGATCTTATATTTCCAGTTAAATTCTAGGGGATACAGGTTCCTAAACTTTGGTTCATTTCAAGAGAAATGGGATTTGGTTACTGTGGAATCATTAAAATTTGTGGGGGCCTTTTCGTCTTTGTAACTCTAATTTATTAATTCGTGGAGTATGTTAATTCATGGATGAGAGGTACCCCTGAATTAGAGCCACCACAAAATCTAATGATTCCACAGTATTTAGAAAAAATGAGCTGTCATAAGTCTTAATGGTTTATTCAAGTGAGAGCACCAAAAATCTTAATAAGATATTGCAAGACTGAAGGTTGAAACCAAACAGTCCATGAACAAGTTCTAGAGAACACAAGAAGATCAAAACTTATCAAATGCTAGTTTCATGAATCCACACATACTGTTTGATCTCTTTCTTTAAAGCAGTCAATATTTAACAAGTTCATTGATGCTGATGACATGTTATTTTCATGTTTACATGTATGTTTTAGAAAGTTTTTTGACAACTCCCTGTTTATTTTACAGAGCCTCTGGAATGGGAGGACTTTGAAGAGGATGAAGATGTAGTGGATCTAAGAGCTAATGATATTGTGGGGGGTGTATTCCACTTCGATCTTATGGCACTACCTCCCCAACCCAAAACCATGAACAAATGGATCGTTACTAGATGTAAGGACAGATTTTTGGAAGGGTTGTGTGTGGTTAAAATATTGTCAAATTGTTTAGTATTATCTTGGACTTCTTGGTTTCATGAGTTAAGATGCCCCTTTTTGTAATTTATGAATTGTAAACATTAGATATATGCAAATGCACCATGTGTCTATTATATGAAGGGCTCTTCCAATACAAAGTGTACTTGTCAATTTTGTAACAGTGGTGGATCCCCCAGAAATTGAGTACATAGATTATGTAGCTGACTCAGTCACACAGATGCCTAAGGAAAACCAGAGTTCTGGTAATACCCCAGTCCAGGGCGAGAAGAGAGATGATAAACCACCCATAGGAATCGCAATGAAGTAAGAGAGAGAGAGAGGGAGAGAGTGATTCAGAGAGTGAGAGAAAGAGAAATGAAAAAATCCAAAATATTCTAATTGCATACCTTTTTCCGGACTTCTGCTTACCTGTTTTATTTTTGGGGGAGACTTCTAATTCAGTTGTTTAATTTTCAGACTTCCAAGTCATGTTTTGTTTTCTGAGGAACCCCTCATTGCTCGCTGGGATTACAAGAAGAAATACTGGAGACAGGATGGATTTACAGATATGAGTTATGATGAAGGTCTGTGGCTCTGTACAACAGTAAATAAATAAATTTAATTTCAGCAGTCTGAGAATTGGTATATTGCTATTTAAACCTGGATTCATATCTAACTTTAAATAAAGTATTAGTTGATTCTAATAGTTTTTTTTTTCTTTGGCTTGCAGATAACAGGATTTTCTCCTTTAAGACAGCATACTTTGGACTTTTTGCCCTCCTTCAGGACTCTCATTTGAACATGCCATTCCAGTCCTGGGAGCTCCGCCCACATAAAACTAATGCCTGTGTCCTCACTATCATTGCTGCTATTGTAGAAGTGGAAATTGAAATAAAGGTAATCTTATAGACAGGATGATACAATGAAGTGATTTTATGATCTCCACATGGCATTAACTGTAGCATTTTAAGTTCTATGGTAAAAAGCAAATATACTGTAAATGATGGACACTCTGAGGAAGATATATTTTAGTAAATGTAGATACTTAGCTTGCTCTAGCTACAGCTGTAGTTTGTGCTATTAAATCAACAAATTCAATATTTATAGAAAATTTTTATTAGTTCTGCTTTTATGTTTAATTGTAATCTTTCTAGAGGACAGTTGTGAAGTACAATGTAGTAATACATTTTTTTAAATATATTTTTTTGGCTTTGCTCTATAGGATGCCATGTGCTGTCTAAGTAAACCTGATGACAGACCAGAACTGGATGGAATCAGAAATAAGTGGGTCACACCTAAAGAACTTATTACGGTAACAATTTAATTAACATTTTCATTTAAGTGTATGCTTGTTCATAATAGCAATAATGCTTGAACATCATTAGGTGCTTTGTTTGCAGTTTAAACTACATCATCCTTTTGAACTAATATATTTCATGTACTTAATTATATTTATATGACAATTTTCTATCTTCTCTTTATGGAGAAATAATGTCTGACCACAAAAAAATTATTTTCTTAGATCATGAAAGAGGCAGGCATAAACCTGTTCCCAGCTGATGACTCCTCCAAATATGTCAGCATTCAAAACAAGGTCAGGTGACACTCTGAGAAAATACTTTGAGTTTTATTGTACTGTACAGTGCCTGAATTCAGAGGTTACTGTGAAGGTCCTTCATTTGTGATGCCAATTTTTGTTATAAACACACCCAGTAGCCTCAATTTAAACTCATTTTCTTAATCTCAGTTTTAAGAGAGAAGAATTAACAAGTTTGAAATCTTTCATAAGATTTCTCTACATTCAGTATTTTGTCTGAATAAAGCAATCACTATTTGAATACTTCCTGTTTGTTTTAGAACCCTATCGTTACAAATTGGATGTATGAACAGATGGCGCTGCTGTCATCTGCTATGGCATTCTCCTGGTCCAAATGGAACAGTGAAATGGACACAAGTGATAAAGTTTTATTCCAGGGATCTGAGGCTCTAGAGGATGAACCACTGCTGGAGGTAGGGGCCACAGAAGGGGTCAAAATATATACAACTATACCTTATAATATGAATTAACCAGTAGTGGTGATATTGTAGCAAATGACCAAGATCTGTCCCGAGTTATTAATGTCCACATTTTTCATTTATTATCTACCAGGTAATATGTTTTACAGGAGAGTCTGATATTAAAATAAATGACTTAGGTCAAATTTTGATAAATGAATGACAGATTTACTCAAAATTTGTTGTACAGGAGGACTGGGGTGTTTACATGGCCACGAAGAAGAGATGCATGAAACTGAATTGTACAGAGTTTGATGAAGAGTTCTCAGAGGATTATGCCGAGGGAACTACAGTGAGTTTCTAAGATTCTCAATGACATGCTTGTAGTCAATTAATACTTAATTTGGACTTGTGACTTTTCCAAGTGAAGTCAATACTTAATTTAGACTTGTGACTTTTCCAAGTGAAGTCAATACTTAATTTGGACTTGTGACTTTTCCAAGTAAAGTCAATACTTAATTTGGACTTGTGACTTTTTCAAGTGAAGTCAATACTTAATTTGAACTTGTGACTTTTCCAAGTGTAGTCAATACTTAATTTGGACTTGTGACTTTTCCAAGTGAAGTCAATACTTAATTTGGACTTGTGACTTTTCCAAGTGAAGTCAATACTTAATTTGGACTTTTGACTTTTCGAAGTGAAGTCAATACTTAATTTGGACTTGTGACTTTTCCAAGTGTAGTCAATACTTAATTTGGACTTGTGACTTTTTCAAGTAAATTTCTTTATTGTAATGATGCAACTCTCTGGACTTTAAACATTGCTGATATTACTTATAAATAAATACTGACATTCAAATTTAATTTTTACATAATTAAAAATTTCATTGTTTAATATGTAAGAATTTATAAGAGGAAGGCATTGATGTAATATAAAAGGGTAGTATTTTCTGATATCTATGGACATTCTTGTTTTTCAGTTCCGCTCGAATCTGTACCATACAGTGTTGACGCAGTGCTCTGAGGAAGCCAAGGAGAGAATTCTCAACTCAAGTTATCAGTATGTGGACTGTGTGGAGCAAATACTGAAAGCCACCAAAGTCCTCACGTATTCCTAATGAGGTGCATTGTAAAGGGAGATAACTCCTGATCAAAGACTTACAGTGTGAAAATATGGGGAAGCATCTTTGTATTAAGGGAATAACTTTTAACAAAGAAATGTCTCTTCATGCTTCTTATTATATTATAAACTTGTTAAATGTATTTTGAATAAAGAAAATTGCTTGTGTCTTATATCATAAGTAAAGTGTGCTTTCAACACTCAACTCTTCAAATGTGATATGCTCTGCTGCTAAGATTTTTTTCATGAAAAGGAAAGCAGTCATCCTTGATTCCTGTAAACCAAGCCTATTTACATTGTTATAAATATATTAGTAACTTCTTCACATCAGATTTCACGGATTTATTAACACCTATGCAAAGGATGGTACATGTACATATAACATTTCAATGTTAAGATTGAGTTTGTAAATATTTCTTACAAAGTGCATAAAAATAAAATTGAATAAATATCTTACTACTAAATGTACAGGTAATGTTCTCTTGTGTCTTTATACCCCTACAGAACAGTCTGGGGGTATAATTAGTTATATGGACACTGGACACATAGAGGGGTAATATGGAAATATATGGGGTCCTTGAAAAAATGCATATTGTACATGGCATAAGCGAAGGCCTAATATGCACTTTTTCAAGGACCCCATATATTTCCATATTACCACTCTAAGTGTCTACATAAGGAATTTATCCTGTCAAAGGTTTTTTTTTTTTTAATAAAGACTTAGTTCATTTTCTCTGAGCTATGCAAACCCTTCCGTAACAATTGTTTACACTGTGACGTTGTTTGATGCTTATGTGACATCAGTTACTGTATAGGGGGAAATTAACTCGCGGTGTTAATATTCGCTATATTCACGGTGTTAATAAATCCGTGAAATCAAGAAACAGTGAATTAGTTTTCAATAACCTCCATGTCTTATTTGGAAATTTGAGAATAGACTTCGATAGGTATATATACGTGCAGTACATGGTCATTTCAGTAATTACGAGTAGTACTTGTCATTCAATTATTTTAATTATCACGCTTTACTTTAATTCAAATCTGCAGATAATAACCTGTATTTGTTAAAACGCTGTTTTAATAGCCAACACTACATGTTTTATGAATCAGAACACGTGGGTCATGGGTTTTGATTACCCATGCGTAACTAATGTGTTACCTGCATTATCATGCATAGTAGTTTTTATCGTCATTTTGGTTTTTAAAAATCATTCAAATAACTATCGAACTTGCTGAAGATGTGGAAGGATATTATTTCGTCGACATACATTAACACATTTATTATCGTCCAGTGATATTTCGCCGCGGTGTATTATCCCTTCGGAGGATTGCCGCTAGCTGCGATCTTGCGGCAAACATTGCAGCAATTGCTGTAAGCTTGCAGCAAATTCGCAGGAACTCAACATTGTTTGCAGGAACATTGCAAGAAACATACACGCCAATCTGTTGTTCGCAGCAAGTTCGCAGGAAACATTTAACAAATTGAATGTTTGCAGGAAGTTTGCAAGAACAGTAAACAAGTCAAATCAGCCAATGAAATGCAGATATTATACTGGGGTCAACACAGAATTCGCCATTTTGAAATGTTTGAATTGAAGTTGTAGATGTTTCAGTATTTTGTTAGGAATATATACCATTTTGAATGATCCCATACGGAAAAAAAGGGCAAACAAACTACTATAACAAATTACTAACAAACCACTGTGTTTTGAAAGTAGTTTAATAGTATAGCAAATCACATGCAAATGAGCTAACAAACTATAACAAACCATGAACAAACTACATCAACAAACTACTAACAAACCATATCAACAAAGTACTAACAAACCACTCTAACAAACTACTAACAAATCATCTCAACAAACTACTAACAAACCACTCTAACAAAATACTAACAAATCACTGTTAACAAATCATCAACAAAACACTAAATTTGAATTTTCTTAACAAATCCACAAGTCTTAAAAACATCTAAACACAGTCACATTTTGAAATGTTCAACGCTTCTTGTTTCAGAGTATTTCAAATTCCAGGATCAACAAGTTTAGTAAATGCAAGTGCAACATTCTGACATTAAACACTATTAAGTTCCTTTAGTTTAGGAGATGTTATTCTCAAGTCGACTGCCCACTTATCGTATTCTCCCGTGAATCACATCTCCATTGAATTGTTCACAAAAAAGATGTTTTTCATGTAATTGTATTTTAGCTGACATTTAAATATTCCCTGCTTCATATGGTATGGAAAATGCTGCAATCATCTTCCTTTCTCTTGCCTTAATTATTGCAACTCTGTAAGATCTTTTCTTGTCTAATTTTCAAGTATTCATCACTTAATCCGGTACTAAACTTATCTAAGCTAGTATAGGGATTATAAGTCAGTCTGAAAATAAATAAAAACCCAATAAAAACATACATATCCAGATTCAATGAAGTTTACTGTAGCCCAGCCTTATTTGAGGTAAAAAAGAACTTAATGTCATGTAATAAATACCTCTTCTGTGTCCAGATCCATGCTTTAATATATTGTTGCTGCTTTCTCCAATCAGGGACCTAATATATACTAACAATTTGTATGTCCCTTCCCCAATTCCTTTGTTTCTGACCTGCTGGTTGTTTGAAAATTGGCGCAAATAGTCTAAAACCGGATGTAAAGAGATAAGCCGTTCTTGGAAACTTTTACAACTCTAGATAATTCAACCCTAAACATGTCTGTAAAGTAATTTCCCATGTGGTTAGATGCAAATGCTATACTAAGAAAACACTGTTGCAAGATACCAAGTCTAACAAACTATAAAGAAATCACAATCAGCAGAAATGAAAGACTAACAAACCACTTCAGTTATTTTTAGAAACAGTGCTTTGTTAGTGTTTCATTTAATGCTTTACTATCAAACTACTTTAACAAATCATAAAAGTATAGTTTGTTGGTAATTTGTTGATGTTTTATTAGTAGTTTGTTAAAAAATATTTTCCTTTGGGATTACAAAAGCAAAATTCTGGATGTAGGTGTACACTGGCATACACAACATCTAATTGGTAAGATCTGATTTTGTTTTATTAATTTGATATGAAACAATTATCTCTCTAAAACATACATGTTTAAGTAACTGATGTACTTGCTAGGTCAAATCTTAATCTATTTAAGAGTTTTAATATAACATTTGTGTGTTTCTTTAAATGTATTAAAGGTTCCAAATCAACTATTATAAATGTTTATAAATATGTTTTCAAATAAATTGGTATTAACCGTAAAATTTTATTGTTAAAGTAATGTGCAAAGGTTTTTAAATTTCTGTACATGTCAAAAGAAATCATATTAAATTTTTATTAGGAATAGTATGTGAACATTGTCTAGGAACAAAGAGAGAGACTATCAACACTTCAGAAACTAGCTTGCATCATTTCAGACACAAGTGGTGGATTTTCTCTATAATTAACAGATTAACGTCAGGACAAAGGCTCTCTAGCTGCGAACTTGCTGCATGTACGCAGGAATGTGCCAAAACAATAATTTTATTCCTTGCCACAAGTTAGCGGCAATGTTTGCTGCAAGCTTGCAGCAATGTTTGCCGCAAGCTTGCAGCAACGTTTGCCGCAAGCTTGCAGCAAGGTTTCCATATTTGGAAAATCCAGTGTTTGCTGCAGACTTGCAGCAAACCTCATTTGCATGGTAAAATGTTTGCTGCAAACTTGCTGCAAACACAAAGGCTTTGTATAGACTGCCATGGTTTCTTTAGCTTCATTGCAGCAAGCTTGCAGCAATGTCTGCAGCAAGTTTGTAACAATGTTTGCTGCAGACTTGCAGCAAATGTTTGCAGGAAGGCAATATTTTTGGTAAGGGTATCTCTCTGTCCAGCTGTGACATCTAATTGACTCGAGATTAGGACTTTGAATTAAATGGAGGGTATACTAGAGTCACTGTCATTCATTTGTCTGTCCATCTGTAATATCCACCTTTACTACATTTTTAACTGTGAATAACAGTACTGTAATTAATTTGTTGAATAAGTGATATTTTGTCCCAGTGTGAAAAAATATCAGAAGTGTGGCACAACTCGAGATTTCCCTTCCCTTCATGAAGAATGTTGTAAAATACTCCCTGGTCTGTTATAAGATAGAGGGAGTAAATAAACCATCCTGATAGAGACTAAATCTATGATGTCTCGGCCTATGACACTGTTACGAAAAGAAAAAGGCAAAGGGAAAATGAAAGAAAATGTTATAAACAGAACAATTATTTTATTCTTGAATGTGGAATTTATTTCATTTTTGAGACAGGATTTTTTGATGTTTGCACCAATGTAAATACAAAAAAAAAAAAAGTCCCAGGTTGTGTCATGACACCCCCCCCCCCCCCAACCACTCATAAATTATCGATGACAAAGTTCAATAACAGTATTTCCACATGAATTCATTTGAGTGAGTCTCTGGTTGAATTAATCCCATTAAGATTAATTCCATGTTAAGATTAAATGATCACAGGTTTACCTGCCTCATCATCTTAACTATACAATCAAGTACAAATATGACAATTTTTTCAGACTTTATTTTTCCATTCAATAAATATAGCATCATATGTCCTTAATAAATATACATGTAAGTTCCATAAAATAAGCCAGTGAAACGTAACAAAAATGTAAAGTTGTACCTAAAATATTGTACACTAAGCTAAGCTCATACAATAACACCTCACACATCCAAGTACAAATTGAATCTGGTTATTTTATCACACCTAATTGTATATGGATGGCATCAGAGATTGTAAGAATGTGAGACAGGTAATGCAGTTGTTGCTATTGTGATTAAAAATTAAAATTCACTGATGATAAAAAAAAGTGTTAAATCTATGTTATACATATATAACAACTTTAGGATAAAGCAAATAAATTCACACGTCCCTTGGACTTCATTATAACAGAAATTTACTGTGGAGTTGAAATACACTGTACCAAATAAATCACAACCAGAAAAATGAAAGCTCTGATTTACAATGCCCCCTCCTCCTTATTTAATGACCTAGCTGTGAACACATGAACATTTGTCAAGAGAGGCAGTTGTCATGGTCAGAAAGCTTTAGAAAACACAACTGAAATATTAAACTTTATATTCTTATAAACTTCACTAATAATGGCAGTTCTGAGTGTTACATCCAGACTTCTAAAGTGTAAGCTTAACCTGTCAAACTGGAAAAGGAATAAAATAACTGGGTTCTACCCATAAGACAAGACTTTGCTGCCAATATTTCAACAGTTAATCACATGGCATAAAATAATAAAAACAAATGTTACATGTACATATGTGACAATGTTAATTCATAGGACGGAAAACATTTCACTCAAAAAGCATCCGATGTGGGAGAAAATCCTATTTTGTGGATTTCCTGACAAGAACAAACTACATGTACATGTATTTGTACAAGACCTGCCATTTCTTAAATATCTCTTATAACACAAACAACAGTGCAATTTGAAGTCCTAATTACTGGACAAAGCAGTTTGATGTTTACAACCTTTCAAACACATTGAATTTTAACAATTTGTTACAACTTAAATATGTTCATGTATGTACAGACCGAGATCTTTCTGACAAATCACTACAATATTGCCAATTCTTTGATAACAGAATGACAAATCTTAAACTACATGATGTAAAGCTCAGATTGTACAATAAATCTTCAGAAAACACCTTTAAGCATATTTTCACTGGACAGCTGTCTTGTATACACAAAGCATTGAACTCTGTTACAGAATTGTGAGTTTTTATTGTGTGGTAAGAGTGGTTAGTACACCACCCCTCCTTTGTCCTCATTGTCACTAGCACTATCACTCCCCACTCCTACCTGGGGATCAGGGGAGATAAACCATGGTATAACACAGCACCAACCAAATGTCAGGAATGAACACATAAAATAATACACTGATGACTCAAAGCTTCAGCCCCAAGGATTATTGCCTCCACCAGGATCTAGAGAATCTGAAATGTACAATACATCAGGTACAAAAATAATGTACAGTTATTAATTGGAAGCATGTGGTATACTTTGACTTTTATAATATATTATAAATGAAAGATGAAATACAAAGAATTTATTTGGGAAGTTTAATTATAAGAGAATTAAAGAATAAATCTCTAAATGTTTGCTGATGATAATCACATAAAATTCATGGATCCACCTTACAAAAGAGCTTACATTTACAGTGAAACTTATCTAATCCAGACACCACTGGCTCCATAGAAATCCCTCATTCTGAATTAGAGTTATGCTTTCGAGTGATGGAGATGTTTTTATTTACCCTGAGGAGAGGTCTAATCTAAAGTTACTCCACTAGGGGAATTGTGGTTAGACAGAGGAAGGGTGGGGGGGGGGGGGGGTTGAAGTTCCCACAGTCTGATCCAGAGTGACTCTGTAAGGAGAGCTGTGGTAATCTTACCCTGAGGAGGGGGTGGTGTTCCCATTCTCTAATCTAGAGATACTTTGTCCAGGGGTGGGCGGTGAGTGGGTATAACTTACCCTGAGGAGGGGTTGGAGATCCCATTCTCTAATCTAGAGATACCTTGTCCAGGGGTGGGCGGGTGAGTGGGTATAACTTACCCTGAGGAGGGGGTGGAGATCCCACACTCTGCTGGCTTGTACTGAGATTCGACCTCCGGACAGATACTTCTTTTTCTGTCATCAGACGGAGATTATTCCTAGAAATTTTCACTGGAGTAATACTGGTGTGTGTCACAACAGCATTCCGTGCTGAACTTGGCCTTGAACCATGACCTTCACTTCTACCACTCAAGGGACGGATTTCTCTTTCCCTGCTTTAAAAGCAAATAAATATATTACATTTGGTGTATACATGTATTTATGGTTCATTAATAATAAATCTATCACGTTTCTAATTTTATTTTTTTCTCTTCAATCTCAACCTTGTACGTACTTGAGTGAGCTTGGAATGTGAGAGTGATTATTTGACATGGGAGGTAACTCTTGATCATCAACGGAGCTTTGTAGAGAGTTTAGGCCCACGTCATCTTACAAAACAAATAAAAAACCTTAGAAACAAAGATTCTGTTATTTCCTGAACTACATGTATAATATTATATTACTAATATTCAATAAGTATGCAAGTTTTCATATGACTTAACAAAAGTTTTGAACTGTCATATGTATGAAATCCTTGCCAACCAATGCATAGAAAATCTAAAATACATGATTATGGCACATTTACAGGACTTACCATGGGATTTTATAACACCTGACGCATACAAATCTCTTAACTTCCTCTTCAAATCCCTACTGGTTTTCTTGTAGAAATACAGGTCCTTCTCCAACCGATGGATTCTGGAACAAATATAATAATGAGGATTTCAATTTTACTAACTTCTCAATCTTCTCTTTGGAAAGTAAAATTTTTGGGAAAAATGTGAGGAAATGACTTTTTTTTCAGATGATTCTACACTGTTGGTCCTTGAGTGTCTTCTCTTTGTATCGAGGGCATCAAAAAGGACATCATCTTATATCTAAAGGAACCCCCTCCCTCCCCCACCCTGGATTTCTTTGTCTGGCCCTTTAACTAACTTTGTTTCGGTGGTTTCCATCACTGGTTGATCCTCCACCGCGGTGCTACTGGTGGTGATCTGTTGCATCAGTAACTGCATCTTCTGTTCGTACTCTCTTTGTTGCTTTGTCAGACGACGGTCCACCTCCACTGCTGCCCGCTGGAGTGCACCCTCCAACTCACGAATCAACTGCTCCTGCTCATCTAACTTCACCTACAAAACAGTATGTCAGCTTTCAACATCAGTGTTTGTAATCACTACAATTCCACTGATTATCATATGTACATGTATATTCAATTCAATTTAATTCACTTGAAATTCAATTTACTTCAAATATTCAAGGATAAATTGAAGTATTCTTACCTCCATTTCACTACATTGAACATCGGTCTTCCTCTCCTTTTCTCTTAAATTGACTACTTTTTCAAAGTACTTAGACAGCAGTGTCTTGGTTTCTACAGCTGAGAGTGCTTTTAGTCTATTCATGACAGAATCCTCACTCTGAAAAAAAAATCATGAATACACAACATACCTCAGTGGATATTGAATTTTTTTGCCCATGTATGTGTAGGTCTGACCTGAGACAGCACCTGTAAGTGCCTAAGTATGGACTATGCATTACCTGAGAGAGCACCTGTGAGTGCCTAAGTATGGACAGTGTCTCTCCTGAGAACAGGGTTGGCCGGGAAATACCAGTGGTGAGAATTACCAGTGGTAAATACCGGTATTTCCCATCCCGGGAAATACTACAAATTTCTCTAATGTGGGAAATACTGGGAAATACAAAGTTCAAGTTTTTTTCTTTCTTTAATTCATTCAATCTCATATACTAGTAAAATTCAAAAATAAAATAAACATAAAAACAGAAGATGAATAATATGGAATATGTCTCAAATTGCAATTGAACATATTCAGAATGTATCACTACTCCAGGTCCCATACCCATAAGCATTCTGTATAAAACTGAAGTTTTCCAATTCAAGTTTCTTTTCAGTTTTGTAAAATTATTAAGTTTATTAATTATAATTCTAAGACCCCAAAAAAAAAACTTGTTTTAATCCTTCTATAAACACTGTAGTTATTACAAACAATCATGTTGTTTTAACAAATTGCTCTGGACAGTTTTGTGCTCCTGTTTTAACATATAATTACCTTGAGTAGAACTGAAAGGCTTCTTCTTAGTTTTGATATTAATACCATACTCCACATTTAAGAATTTTCTTAGATAATGTTTCATGGACCTTTATAGACTACACCTGACTCAAGCATGAAACAAATGGCACTCATGACTGGTATATGAATATACTGTGTTATGATTATATAAAATGAATTACTTGGAAACCAGAATTTTTTAAATCAGGGACAGTGATACCAGGTAGATATCTTAGCCAATAAGGTGTACTACATGTCAATATGAACGAAATATTTAGTAGCTATTTCTTATTTCCCAGTATTTCCCGGGAAATACCAGTAATTCCCGGTAATTACCAGTATTTCCCACCGTCCTGGGAAATATGAGTATTTCCCAGTTTTTTGCCAACCCTGCCTGAGAGAGCACCTGTGAGTGCCTTAGTATGGACAGTGACTCACCTGAAAGAGCACCTGTGAGTGCCTTAGTATGGACAGTGACTCTCCTGAGAGAGCACCTGTGAGTGCCTTAGTATGGACAGTGACTCTCCTGAGAGAGCACCTGTGAGTGCTTAAGTAGGGATGGTTTCTCACCGATGAGAGCATCTGTGAGTGCCTAAGTATGGATGCTTTCTCACCTATGAGAACACCTGTGATTGCCTAAGTACAGATGGTTTCTCACCTGTGAGAGCACCTGTGAGTGCCTAAGTTCCAGTTGTTTACTGTTGATGTGGTCATTCTTATACTCAATGGCAGCATCCAAAGCTTCAATGGCTTCATCTAGCTCTATCAATCTGAAAATTAAGATATTTAAATCATCCCATGCCTGTTAAATGGTCACAGTATACCAAGGCTGACATTCCGGTCGAATGATATTAAAACATTCTTTATATACAAACTATTATCTATTTATTTAATCACCCCACTGTAATTACAGTACTTCTCAAGCAGGTTTTAAATGGTTTGCATTACATAAAATTTGGGACAGAAAGAGGAAGGCATTCAAACTTAGTGTAAATAATTTGAACTAAGATTAAATGCTGTTGTCAAGAAAATCAAACTTTTCAAAAAAGTAACTGGAAGAAGAGCTGTGGATAATGACAATTTTTCCCTCCCTAGGTATTTTTTCACCCTCCAAACTACATCCACTGTCTGATTTTACCTCCTCTCATCCTGCGGTGACATCAGCCTCCCCTCCTGAAGTTTCTCTTCCAGGACTCCCCTCTTCTTCTGCAGTGTGTCTCTGTTCCCCTGTAGTAAACCCAGCTCCTCCTTAATTCTTTGCTGGTCCTCTAAGGGTGTGTGAGCTAGTTCTCTGCTCTTCTCATCTATCATTCTATCCACTGTATCCAACTTAGACGACACAGTCAAAATGTTCTAAATCAAAAAAAAAAAAAAAGAAAAAATATATTCATTAGGCTTTTTTTTCAGTGGAACATGTGCCCGCACTGATATTCATAAGTAATTTAAAAACATTAAAAGAAAGCACTTGTGTCTATGAACTGCAAGTGAATACATGCAGTATAAGTTGTTCTAGATGAATACCTTATTGACTACTTGACTAGATCGTAACTTCTTCATTTCCAGCTCACTCTTCTCATTCAGTATGGCCTCCTTCTTGCTGACAATTTCTTCTCTTTTTTTAAGAATCTGTAACAGATAATTTACAAAGACTATCAATCACAGAAAAATCTGAAAAGACTGTGACTTGTGATCTTTGACCCCAGCTTAAAAAGACTCTTGACTTGTGACCTTCACCTGACACTGACCTCTTCAAGTTCCTCCACCTGTCTCCGCTGTTCCACCACCTTCTCCACTTCATTGTCCAGCCATCTTTTCTGCTCCTCTATCTTCTCCATGTCATCGCTGTGTCAAAATTATTACACCCAGTATTATATACATGTCATCGTTGTGTCAAAATTACACCAAGTATTACATACATGTCATCGCTGTGTCAAAATAACACCCAGTATTACACACATACTTCATCGCTGTGTCAAAATTACACCCAGTATTATACACATGTCATCGTTGTGTCAAAATTACACCAATTATTTCATACATGTCATCGCTGTGTCAAAATTACACTAAAAAAGTATTACATACATATGTCATATGTCAAAATAACACCCAGTATTACATACATGTCATTGCCATGTCAAAATTACACCAAGTATTACATACATGTCATCGCTGTGTCAAAATAACACCCAGTATTACACACATATGTCATCGCTGTGTCAAAATTACACTCAGTATTACATACATGTCATTGCCATGTCAAAATTACACCCAGTATTACAGACATGTACAAGAAAAAAATTACTTGACACATATACATGTACAAATTAGAAATGTAAAAACCCTAAACAGAATTCTATCTTACTGGAATTCTGATATCTGAAAATCCCAGTCATGAATACTCCCCATCCCATATATATAGTGGAAGTCTGATGTTCTTCATGTTTCAATAATACTATACAAATGATATATATTTGTTCAAGAAATGTTTTGCAATCCCTCCCCCCCCCCCCCCCCCCCCTCTTCATCCTTATATTTTTGTTGCAAGTGAAGAAAACAATAAATAAATTCTCATATCTACAGATAAGTAGTCTGACATCTGCATGGGGGGGTATCGTCCCGGACTTACATTTGTATGGGGGGTAACGTCCCGGACTTAAGTTTACGTTGTGCGGCAGCTATCTCCTCATTTTTCTTCTTTAACAATTTCTCTTGATGTTCATTCTTCTTCTGTAAATCTCTCACCTTCTGTGCTTCCTTCTGCATCTCTTTCTGGGAATCATTAGACAGAATACATGTCAGGCATCAATCATTAGACAGAATACATGTCAGGCATCAATCATTAGACAGAATACATGTCAGGCATCAATCATTAGACAGAATACATGTCAGGCTTCAATCATTAGACAGAATACATGTCAGGCTTCAATCATTAGACAGAATACATGTCAGGCATCAATCATTAGACAGAATACATGCCAGGCATCAATCATTAGACAGAATACATGTCAGGCTTCAATCATTAGACAGAATACATGTCAGGCATCAATCATTAGACAGAATACATGTCAGGCATCAATCATTAGACAGAATACATGTCAGGCTTCAATCATTAAACAGAATACATGTCAGGCATCAATCATTAGACAGAATACATGTCAGGCATCAATCATTACACAAAATACATGTCAGGCATCAATCATTAGACAGAATACATGTCAGGCATCAATCATTAGACATAATACACGTTAGGCATCATATAAAAGTTCCTTTAAGAATTGTGTCTTTTTTTCATAACAAACAACCAATGTCCTACCTCTAGCTTCCCCTTCTTTTCTGATTCATCCTTGAGTCGTTTCTGTAGCTGATCCTGCTGTTGTCTCATCCTATCCACCTGCATCTCCAAATCAGAAATCCTAAAACAACCAAGTACATTATGAGGGTACTGATCATAATGAATCTGTCTTACATGTACATGTAAAACTCCCTGTAAATATATGATGTTTAAGCTGTACAATGTACATAAATAATGATTGAACATAAATGAATGTTTAAATCAAACAAAAATCCCTTTGCCTTACTTTTTGCTGTTTTGTGCTGAGAAATTGGCAATCTTTTCTGTTTCTTTTTGCTTCCTTTGAATGGCAGACATTTTTGCTTTGGAAAGCTCCAACTTTTTCTTGTATTCTCTGAAATAGTTTAAAAAATAAAATGAAGATGATTTTCAAAGCCAATTAAAGTACTAGTTTCTGCTGATTGTAAAATATCTTGGGGCATTTGTGAACTCAGTTTATGGGTAAAAAAAAACCGTAAGTATTTTCAAGCAAATATAATGTATATAAAAAATCTAATAAGTTGATAACATTTGCAAATAACAGTTAAACTCATTTTTTTCTTTACAATTAGTAAATACTATGTCATCTGTTTATATTATTTAAACATCCTGTTTACGCAGTGTTTTTATTTTATATTTTCTGTTTTTACTTTAGTGGTAAATATCCCCCAGACTTACTGCTGAAGTCTCTGTTTTTACTTTACTGGTAATTATCCCCCAAACTTACTGCTGTAGTCTCTGTTTTTACTGGTAATTATCCCCCAGACATACTGCTGTAGTCTCTGTTTTTAGTTTACTGGTAATTATCCCCCAGACTTACTGCTGTAGTCTCTGTTTTTACTGGTAATTATCCCCCAGACATACTGCTGTAGTCTCTGTTTTTACTTTACTGGTAATTATCCCCCAGACATACTGCTGTAGTCCCTGTTTTTACTTTACTGGTAAATATCCCCCAGACTTACTGCTGTAGTCTCTGTTTTTTTCCTGGTAATTATCCCCCAGACTTACTGCTGTAGTTCCTTTTTTTACTTTACTGGTAATTATCCCCCAGACTTACTGCAGAAGTCTCTGTTTTTACTTTACTGGTAATTATCCCCCAGACTTACTGCAGAAGTCTCTGATTTTACTTTACTGGCAATTATCTCCCCCGACTTACTGCTGTAGTCTCTGTTTTTACTTTACTGGTAAATTAATATCCCCCTAGTAATACTGCTGTAGTCCCTGTTTTTACTTTACTGGTAAATTAATATCCCCCTAGTAATACTGCTGTAGTCCCTGTTTTTACTTTACTGGTAAATTAATATCCCCCTAGTAATACTGCTGTAGTCCCTGTTTTTACTTTACTGGTAAATTAATATCCCCCTAGACATACTGCTGTAGTCCCTGTTTTTACTTTACTGGTAAATATCTCCCAGACTTACTGCTGTAGTCTCTGTTTTTACTGGTAAATATCCCCCAGACTTACTGCTGTTACAGTAGTCTCTGTTTTTTTCCTGGTAATTATCCCCCAGACTTACTGCTGTAGTCTCTGTTTTTACTTTACTGGTAAATATCCCCCAGACTTACTGCTGTAGTCTCTGTTTTTACTGGTAATTATCCCCCAGACTTACTGCTGTAGTCTCTGTTTTTACTGGTAAATATCCCCCAGACTTACTGCTGTAGTCTCTGTTTTTACTGGTAATTATCCCCCAGACTTACTGCTGTAGTCTCTGTTTTTACTGGTAAATATCCCCCAGACTTACTGCTGTAGTCTCTGTTTTAACTTTACTGGTAATTATCCCCCAGACTTACAGCTGTAGTCTCTGTTTTTACTGGTAAATATCCCCCAGACTTACTGCTGAAGTCTCTCTTTTTACTGGAAAATATCCCCCAGACTTACTGCTGAAGTCTCTGTTTTTACTGGTAATTATTCCCCCGACTTACTGCTGTAGTCTGTTTTTACTGGTAAATATCCCCCAGACTTACTGCTGTAGTCTCTGTTTTTACTGGTAAATATCCCCCAGACTTACTGCTGTAGTCTCTGTTTTTACTGGTAATTATCCCCCAGACTTACTGCTGTAGTCTCTGTTTTTACTGGTAAATATCCCCCAGACTTACTGCTGTAGTCTCTGTTTTAACTTTACTGGTAATTATCCCCCAGACTTACAGCTGTAGTCTCTGTTTTTACTGGTAAATATCCCCCAGACTTACTGCTGAAGTCTCTCTTTTTACTGGTAAATATCCCCCAGACTTACTGCTGAAGTCTCTGTTTTTACTGGTAATTATTCCCCCGACTTACTGCTGTAGTCTCTGTTTTTACTGGTAAATATCCCCCAGACTTACTGCTGTAGTCTCTGTTTTTACTGGTAAATATCCCCCAGACTTACTGCTGTAGTCTCTGTTTTTACAGGTAATTATCCCCCAGACTTACTGCTGTAGTCTCTGTTTTTACTGGTAATTATCCCCCAGACTTACTGCTGTAGTCTCTGTTTTTACTTTACTGGTAATTATCCCCCAAACTTACAGCTGTAGTCTCTGTTTTTACTGGTAATTATTCCCCAGACTTACTGCTGAAGTCTCTGTTTTTACTTTACTGGTAAATATCCCCCCTCCCCCAGACTTACTGCTGAAGTCTCTGTTTTTCCACCTTCTCCTGATGTTTATTTGTCTCTAACTCTGTCAGAAGTTTGTGAGTTTCCTCCAAATCAGACTTAGTCTTTTCTTTCTCCTGAAATGTTAATCTATTGTCAGTCCCCCAGAAAGTAGGTACATGAATATATATATACAGTGCATGTCAAATAAGATCCTTGGCTAAGCAACACTAATCCACCATATTTGTAAGAGTCATGCTTCACGCATCACAATGCTAGATTCTTAACACACCCATGTAAACCTTTCTCTACAGAGTCATGACTGCTTACTTTTTCCAGATGCTTAATCTTCTCAGCATATTGTTTATTGAGGACTTCAGCATCTTTCCCTGTTTTAACAAGTTCCTTTATAAGCTGTTCTTTCATTCTGGAAAGAAATATGCAGTTTTTCTTTATTATTAAATGAAATAAAAATACATATATGTGTAGATTAATTCAGAATTGTACTGTAACATTCCACAATGAACAGTGATTTAACATAACAATAATTCTGAATAGTCTGTACCAGAATATTTATGGATTTAAGGTTTTGGAAATGGATACACAGCATTTTGAGCTATCAGTAAAGATGGACCTGATGTTGATTTTAAGATATCAGTGAGAGATGACAGACTTGATGGTTATTTTAAGTTATCAGTGAAGCAATGACAGACCTGATGTTGACTTTAAGTTATCAGTGAAGCAATGACAGACCTGATGTTGATTTTAAGTTATCAGTGAAGCAATGACAGACCTGATGTTGATTTTAAGTTATCAGTGAAGATGGACCTGATGTTGATTTTAAGTTATCAGTGAGAGATGACAGTCCTGATGTTGATTTTAAGTTATCAGTGAGAGATGACAGCTCTGATGTTGATTTTAAGTTATCAGAGAGAGATGACAGTCCTGATGTTGATTTTAAGTTATCAGTGAAGCAATGACAGACCTGATGTTGATTTTAAGTTTTCAGTGAAGGATGACAGACCTGATGTTGATTTTAAGTTATAAGTGAAGTGATGACAGACCTGATGTTGATTTTAAGTTATCAGTGAAGTGATGACAGACCTGATGTTGATTTTAAGTTATCAGTGAAGTGATGACAGACCTGATGTTGAATTTAAGTTATCAGTGAAGCAATGACAGACCTGATGTTGATTTTAAGTTATCAGTGAAGTGATGACAGACCTGATGTTCATTTTGTTATCAGATCAGGGCTTGACATTAATGCTTCTCCGGTACCAGTGAAAAAAAATTACCGACAAGTGAATATTGCTTAGTACTTGTCCGATTGGACAAGTGCTTTTTATGTAATGAAGTCTCCAATTCATAAAAAAAATGACTGGTGGAAACTCAGAAAAATTTATTGGTAGTTTAGTACATAAAAACTGAACTTTGATCCCGATATTAATTGCTATGTAATTGAGTTCAGACTTCATCGGGATCGAAGTTCACTAACTGCATACTACTGCAAAAGCATGGATCGAAGTTGGAATTCTGTTTGATGTTGACAGTTTCACTTATGAACATTTATGTTGTTGTCAGGACAGGAAGTCTAGATAAAATTTTGTTTGATGTCTTTGTTGTTTATATTGATACCATCACAAATCCATCAAGCACTTATATAAAAGACTTCATTTTAATTAATACTTTTCAAGTTGACAGTATTTTAGTGGACGACCATTTGATTCTGAGAGGGGGGCCTGGCAAATTTTTCCGAGTCAGATTATTTATTTTCATGTCAGTGAAGGACAGATTATTTATTTCCAATAAGATCAAGGACAGATTATTTATTTTCTTCTTCACTGGAAAAAGTCTGACAAGCAAAAAAAAAGAAAAGGAAACACCGAAGTCCAAAACTTCTAATTCGGGGGGGGGGGGGGGGGGGGGGGGGATTAATCTTGTCAGGGACAGATTATTTATTTCCAACATTTTCGAGGATAGATTATTATTTATTTCCAAAATCTGCCAGCCCTCCCCCCTCAGAACCAAATGGTCGTCCCCTTAAAACTATTTTTGTTTAGATCTTTGTTAAAAATTTTTCGGACAAGTGAAGTTGAAGTTCGGACAAGTAAATGTCTTGGTCACTTGTCCGAATGGACAAGTAGGGAAAAAAGTTAATGTAGAGCCCTGAAGATATGTGATGACTGACCTGATGTTTATCGAGAGGTCTCTCATCTTCTGGTGGTCCTCCGACATTTTGATCTGGGTCTCCTTAATCTTCCTCTGTGTATTAATACTCTTCCTCAGGCGATCCTCTACTGTCTCATACACGGGGTCTCCAGCTGAGGAGGACACACTTCCCCTGATGGCTGTCAATTACAGATAATTACTGCACCGTAAAATTGTCCACAGATCAAATACTGATGTACATATGTATAAAAGAAGTATACAAGATTCTTGTCTGTTAAAGAGTACTAAGTCTTGTAAACCACAAATTATATGTATAAAATAGTAAATCAGATGTACACTAAGTTAAAGAGACCCCTAAATTTCTATAACAGTAATTATGACCTTACCTGGTTTACTGATTCTGATGGCTGGGATGTTCATCTGATCTGCATTATTTTCTTTATTGTCTTCTGAGTTTCCTGGACCTTTCTTTACTTTGTATGTTCCCTTCCGCTTGAATTTACTTCCATCCCCACTAAAAAAGTCAAAACAGTTACAGAGAAACACAGTTACGCATACAAGCAATATCATTTATGTATGAAAGATAATTCATATCTGATGAAAACTGATGAAAATATTCTAGAATGTAAAATATGACACTTCTTTTGGTCATCAAAATTGTTCATAAACAAATTAATAGTTATAAAGAGTAAAAGTATGTTCTTATACATGTATACTCCTGTAGACTTGTAAACACTACTTACAGACTGTTTCCAATGGCAATGTTTTCCTCATCCTCATCAAATGTCTGATGCATGACCTCATCGCTGTCCTCAAGGCGACTCACCAATAACTGACTCCGAGCCCGGAAACTCTTCATCACTCGCTCGAGAGTGAACAAGGCCGGGCTGGTCTTGATGTTTCTGGATGGTGGTCTAAGTCCAGGGTAAGCCTGCAATATTTAGTAGACTTCAACCAAACAGCTCTCTTAAAAATATAGTAAAACTTCACTATCTTGAAACTTGTGAGCATCCAAGTACCCTAAAACTATTTTTAAATTTGTATTCAATATTCTTAAATAAATTTTTAAATCTGTTTTTTGTATTCTTAAATAAGTGACAATGGAGGTTCTTACATCTGGTCTCCTTGACAACTGGACAGGAACAGACTTTGGCCGCTGACCCCCGGTCATTCCAGCCGGAGCACTCGACGCCACTGCTTCCTCGTCCAGTATACTGCTCTCACTAAACAACTCATCCTGTAAACATCAACAGACAGTCATACTGCATATACTGACAAACAACTCATCCTGTAAACATCAGTAGACAGTAATACACAATATACTGGAAAACAACTCATCCTGTAAACATCAATAGACAGTCATACACAATATACTGGAAAACAACTCATCCTGTAAACATCAATAGACAGTAATACATAATATACTGGAAAACAACTCATCCTGTAAACATCAATAGACAGTAATACATAATATACTGGAAAACAACTCATCCTGTAAACATCAATAGACAGTCATACACAAAATACTGAAGTGGAAAATGACTCATCCATAAACATATGCTAAAACACAATATACTGGCCAACAACTCGTACTGTAAACATCAACATACACAATATACTGAAAAAAAAACCTCTCATCATCTCTATTGGTAGCTTGAGAAAAAATACAATTAATCAAACGTTACAAAGCTCAACTTATGAATACCATTTATGAGTGAGGTACAGCCTTAAACCAAATGAATGTTTACTAAATTAAAGTCTACCATATGGTATTTAAGGAGTACCTTCTTCAAAAACTTTATATCTCCTCAATTATGCAAAAACATAGGTCAGTTGCAGGATCTAAATTATTTTAACATGCATCCATAAATGCTTCATCTGTGCAAGTTTAATCCAGATAAGCCTCTACACATAGTTACCTAGGAATTAACTTTAAACCTTGGTTACTGTAAACCAGTAATGGGGAAAAAGCTGACCTCTTCCTGATTTCCTCAAAGTGAGTTCAAGAACATAAATTTTTAAAAAATGAATCATAATACCAATATGAAATTATCACAATTTGAAAACAAAGTGTCCTTAGAATAAAAATCTCCCTAAAATACAAATATATATTTGTTCTCTGACCTCTAAATAAGACCTTGACCTGTCATGGTAACCCTGACTCTCTCCTTGATGAAAATAAAGTCTCATTCTAATTAGCCCAACAATTATAGTCAATACCTCTTTATCAACACTGTCATATTTTCTCAACAAACCTAAAAAATAATGAATAACTGACATAACAACTAATGGATACAACAAAGTCAAATGACTGACCCTTTTAAATAACCATGAGAAAGATGCAAACTAAACACATAATGCATACTAATCATCATTTGAAGGGATTCAAATATTACAATATCAAATGTAAAAGGTAAAATGTCAAGGTCAATATTGATGCAAATAAAAATTTTACTTACTGGTACACTTGTGAATATTTTCTTTAATCAACTCATTACAAGTAATTTAATGTCATTGAACTTCTTAGGTTTTTTTCCTACTGCTATCCATTTCATGCAACCATATTTTTAAAGGATAAATGTAATATCATGAATATAATTACTTTTCAAACAAATGTTGCAAAATTTAATGTTCTTGAAATATTAGCAAACCAAATTTACACAATCAACCAGTGAAATTCTGTGAAAATTAAAATAAAACCAACATAGTGCCATACATATTAAAAACATTATTCCAATATTTTTTTATTTTATCTGATGCAAGTTAGACTTAGTTTTCAGATTACCATAAAGAATTTTGAGGTCACATCTTTGTAAGCTTTATTATGCATGATAATCATTTTGCATAATTATATCTCGTCTGTTGACTTCATGCATCTTAATAAAATAGGCAATTGTTATCTGTGCAGGATCCTTTACATACACATAAAATTAATATAAAACATGATTTAAGTTTCATTCAATGATTGCCGATAAGGACAGAAAATTTACCAATCAGTAGAATGGTATTGATATTGGCCAAGGTTTCTGGATGGTGCAAACAATGTGACTTCAAAAGATCATTTATGGTCTCTGTAAACTAGATTATTAAAACTGGTCTAACTTAATCAGATGGTAATTCCATCAACTTGTACCTAACCCACAATACAAAGATGAATTTTACAAGTATCCTTAAAGAAATTAATTTCTGCTGCTGAAATTAAACTACTGAGTTGATTTTGAGAAAGAGCTTTTCTGATACATACACTGCAAGTTTGATACAGTTTAAGCAAAGATCTAGAGCTTTAAATTCTAGCATACCTACAACTGTACTCTAGCTTGTATTCTGATCTTATCTAAATGAATACGAGTCAGCAGCATAAAGTGAAGAAAATCAAGATAAAGTAAATGTTACTAAAATCTGTATGACTAGCAATGATTAAGTAAAGGCATGCTGTATTGTTGGAAAGCAATTGGAATCATCATAACATTTACTTCTAACTGAAGAGAACTGATGATGAATGTCTGATGATAATGATTGGTTTCCAACATGAACAACAAAGAAAACATGATAGAGTGCCCTGAACCTGTACCTGGTTTGTCAAAATAACACTGTCATGTACATCCTCCTAGAAATACAGGGTGCAGTAAAAATAATTAGAGTATATTTATAGCAATCAAAATCAATCTCTCTCTCTCTTTTTGCTGAAAAAGACTTCTAAATTCTTTACTACCATATTATCGCCTTTATATTATCTTTCATCACTTACTATAAAAACTTAAAATCTAAAAAAACAATCTTATGTATAAAAGAATCTATTACATGATATGATTCTGTGTATGAAAGCAGGATTTAGAGGCACACAAAAACTATCTACAGGAGTAAGCTCCCTTTCAGAGTTATCTAACCTTGAGAGCTTTGTGTAGTTCCTCAATCTTCATCTGTTGTTCAATCATCTGCTGTTCCTGCTTCCTAATCTGGTTCTCAGCCTCTGACAATTTCTTAGTAGTTTCCTCTAGTAAATTACCCTGAAAAAACAAAACAAAACAAAACTGAAGTCAATCCACAAGTTAAAAGTCTGATGGTAAGGTACAAATCAAAATAAATTCTACAGGAATTCAAAACAAATTCTACAGCAATGTTGATTTTCCAGTAAGCATTATAAATTGTACAAATATCTTTTATTGATTCACTGCTCTAATGTTTTGCTTTATGAAATGTAACAGTGATGTTTTCAATGTCTATCATTTTCAATTCAAGTAATAATTATTACATAGACTAGTCTACACACACACTGTACATTGCATAACAGAAAATCTTTGCACCTGTTTAATTTTTGTAGACAAAGGTAGATGTTTAAATAATTATTATCTGTAAAATATTTCAACTTTACATATTGAATGGAATTAAGAAAATGGTGAGCTCAACAATTTGAACATCAAATGTACATGTACCTATAAAGAATCAAATTTTGAACTGTAGAATTTTCTCATTTAATGGTATATATAGCTTTGACAGGCTACCATACCATCAGATAAAAAAATATATATGAAATTATTTCACAACAACCAAATCATAGAATACTAGGCTATGATATAGAGTTACACTGTATTATACTGTTGAAACCATACATACCAATTCCTCATTTCTCTCAATTAGTCCGTTAAAATCCTTATTTTTCTCTGCGAAGATTTCCTCGTCACTTTTGAGATCTTCCCTGCACTACAATGAAGAGTTATCAAGAACTAAACTACAGTCTCTTACAATGGCTGTTCTTACTCATTCTCAGAATTCCAGGTATAAATAGGTAATACAAGTTACTGCCTGCTAAAGTCATGACTCATGCCAAAGAAAATGATAGTCAATGTAACAGTATGTTGCATGCTCATAAGATACTACAAATTGTAGGAATTAGTAGCATTAAACAGCCATTGTCTGTGGATTAAAAGTAAGCCAGTGCATCAATTTATTACCAGAGATAACACAGACCACAGATGTTTTTACTCCCCCACAAACTTTTTCTTAATTCACTATATTCTTATAATAAAAAAATTAACAAAGATAATTTTCATGTTACACCCTAGTGAATGAAATCTTTTTTCAAATTTCTCTCTGGTAAATAAATTTCTTTCTAGTAATAGTAAACACTGCAGATTTGCAAACAGGTAAATCATTCTCATTAGGCAATCCATTTAGACACACTGTGTAAATCTGTTAAACAGTTATTAATCAGATTTTGCTTTGTACTACCTTCTTAAGTTGGGACTGCAGATCTCGAATTGTCTGGTTTTCTAATTCCTCCTTAGTTAGAGTTGCAGGAACCTTGTTTTTGATCTGGAATTACAATTGGAGCTTGTATCACTTGCTTTCCTCCAACATATATTTTATTCTCATTCAATCTCAACACAGAAAACTTCATTTATAATTAAAATGTAATTGTGCAAAAATTCGTATTCATGTACATTGTACATTACAGTAACTATGTAATCAGAAGCTTGTCTTGTTACAGTAGTATGTAATCAGAAGCCTGTCTTGTTACAGTAGTATGTCATCAGAAGCCTGTCTTGTTACAGTAGTATGTAATCAGAAGCCTGTCTTGTTACAGTAGTATATAATCAGAAGCCTGTCCTGTTACAGTAGTATGTAATCAGAAGCCTGTCCTGTTACAGTAGTATGTCATCAGAAGCCTGTCCTGTTATAGTAGTATGTCATCAGAAGCCTGTCTTGTTACAGCAGTATGTAATCAGAAGCCTGTCTTGTTACAGTAGTATGTAATAAGAAGCCTGTCCTGTTACAGTAGTATGTAATCAATGTTATAGTAGTATGTAATCAGCAGCCTGTCTTGTTACAGTAGTATATAATCAGAAGCCTGTCTTGTTACAGCAGTATGTAATCAGAAGCCTGTCCTGTTACAGTAGTATGTCATCAGAAGCCTGTCCTGTTATAGTAGTATGTAATCAGAAGCCTGTCTTGTTACAGCAGTATGTAATCAGAAGCCTGTCTTGTTACAGCAGTATGTAATCAGAAGCCTGTCCTGTTACAGTAGTATATAATCAGAAGCCTGTCCTGTTGCTGTAGTATGTAATCAGAAGCCTGTCCTGTTACTGCAGTATGTTATTAGATGCCTGCCCTGTTACAGTAGTATGTAGTAAGAAGCCTGTCTTGTTATAGTAGTATGTAATCAGAAGCCTGTCATGTAACTGTAATATGTAATCATATGTCTTATAACTACTAAGACTTGTCTCTGACCTCCTCCATCAGGTCCAGCCAGTCCTTTAGCCTGAAGTCCTGACTCTTAGACAGGATGTCCCGCTGCTGGATCTCAATCAGCTGTCTGTAGGCCTCCTCTGCGATCATCTTGTAGTGGGAACACTCCGTCTGTAATCTGTCAAATTGAATACAAAGAATAATTTCACCTATAATATATCATTAACTTTCTTATTCCAGTGACTGTTTTATTTTGAAAATTGAAAACAGAATAAAAAATATATATAATATTAAGAAAGGCAAACAAACCTGAATATTTATTTGGTATTATGACATTCATACACAAATATATTTTGAAAATGTTTAAATGTTATTTAGGAAACAAATAATGAATTACAGTGTTAACTACATTTCCCACCTAATGACTTGTTGTTCTAACTTTTTCATCTCTTGTGCGTCCTGCATGGCTTTCTCTGGATTATACACATTGTCACCTCCACCATTACTCAGCATAGACGTCCTCTGTCTCACCAACTCCTCTCTCAAGGCCTAAACACAAATCAGGCATTTAATTTAAAGTTGTTGAAAACTAATAATGCATGTACATTTCAGATAATTTCGTACCACTTCTATGATTCTTAAAATGTAATTATTATTTATTTTTCTAAGTCATACGGGAATTTTACCTGAAATTGAATCATGTTCAAATCCAACTTAATAAATACTTTTGTATAGATATATCAGAGAAAGTACCTTTATTTCACACTGCATTTCTTCAAATCTAATGGACTGCACATCTCTGTTCACAATAGGGGTATTCTTGATATTCCTGGCCTGATTCATTGACATGTAAGAAGTTTCAGTGTATCATATGCATGTCTAATGTATTTATGACTTTTACTGATTTATATACATATAACTCATTTATTAGCCTTTATCATATATTCAGCATTGATTGTTCTACAACCATCTAACAATAACTTACCCTGTTGGCATACTTTAAAGCATTATGAGATTCATCAAAATTGGCTGAGGACGGACTTATACAGCAAATCATCAGAGTTTTGGCATTTCCTCCTAAGGAGTCCTTTAAGGAAACACAGAGTCAAAATTACAACCAAACATGTCAAAACTTGATGTCAAAAAAAAAAAACACCAGTTAAATGTTTCAAACTGCTTATCTCCCCTGAGCCCTGTTTGTATACAATCAAACCTCATTATCTCGAACTCAAAGGGACAGAGAAAATACTTCGAGATAACCGAGGATTCGAGATATCCAGGGTAAAATACTTAAAGAATAAGCAGTTGGGACTTCAAAATGACTTCGACATATCCATGGTGTTTGAGATATCCGTGTTCGAGATACTGAAGTTCAACCGTATGTGTAAAGAAGTACCTTCAGAAGTCGGGTGATTTTGGACTCTCTGTAGGGAATGTGAGTTGATCTCTTCTTTGGATCCCCTAAAGAACTGATGACATTACCCAGTGCCAACAGTCCAGAATTGATATGTACTGACTCTGTAATAAGGAAATTCACAATGCTATGATGATATCACAAATCTTTTTTAAATTTATTATTTAATGACAATAATATCATAATGTACAGAAAAATAATATGTTCTGAGTTTTATAAACAATAAATAGTAAAGTCAAAAATCAATGGGAATGTCAAGGTAAAAAATAAAATGGACACATTTAATAATTTATCACCAAATTTTGTATCAGTGAATAATCTTACATAAAGATATCTTGAATAGTTTCTCTGAAACTGAGCTTAGGCAAAATAAAAAAGATTAAGGTCAAGATCAAACATTTTGGACATAGTTCATACTAATATTTATCGATATATGTGTTTAGATAAAAAGATCTTGAATAGTTTCTTTGAAACTTAGCTAAATGCAAAATTTAAGAAAAGTGAGATCAAGGTCAAAGGGATGGTCAAGGTAAAAATATTTGGATGCAGTTCAATAGCGCTTACCAAACTATCAGCATATAAAGATTGATATAAAATTATCTTGTTTCTTTGAAACTGAGCTAAACACAAATTTAAAAAAAAAAAGGTCAGTGTTGAAGGGAAGGTCAAAGTAAAATATTTTTGATTCAGTTGATTAACTCTCACTAATATGCATCAGTGTATGAAGTTTGAAAAAAATATTCTGCATAATTTTGGAACTGAGCTAAACACAAATTTATGAAAATTGAGGAAAAGTCAAGATCAAAAATGTTGATGCAGCTGAATAGCTCTTATCCATATGTATCAGCATATGAAGTTTGATAAATATATCTTGAATATTTTCTTTGAAACAGACCTAAACACAAATGTTAGAAAAATGAGGTCAAGGTCAGAGGGATGTTCAAGGTCAAAAATGTAGTTGAATAGCTTTCACAAATATGTATCAGCACATAAGGTTTGATAAAAATCTCTGGAATAGTTTCTTTGAAACTGAACTAATTGCAAAGTGTGATGGAAGGACAGACTGAAGGACAGAAGATGAACATGACAAACACTATATGGCCCTGTGGCTGGGGCACAAAAATACATGCATTGTCAATGGTCAAATGGAAGTATACACTATTAGAATTTAAATGTTGTGTGTGATTAAAAATGCATTTTACAGTAAATAACTTCTGACCTTTGAACCTGTCTCCCACATTTCCTGTTCTGTGAGCTCTTTCAGATCCCGCAAGGTCAACGAAATGAAACTTCCCACACATGGTGTGGGTGATATCTGAAAATTACAAACATTAAAGAAATTGTTATGCTACCCAAATTCTACACTCATTATCCAAATGCATGGTTGACAATTTACGCTTATGACTTAATGATTAAAGTAATCCAGATAATTATAGAGCTATAGGAATTATATTTTGGCTGCTGTCAACAATGATTTTCTTTCTTTTTTTTTTTTTTTCTTTTTTTTTTTTTTTTTACATGTTACTACATAAAACAGACAATGATGTTAAAATTACCATAAGTTATCAAAACCTTCGAAAATGATGTCAGTAAATAAATAAAACAATGCATTTAGTCTCTCAGCTATGAATTATTTTAATTCCCCCATTACCACAAAAATGTATTTAAGCACTTTGCCCATGACAAATGATGGTTTGGAAAATAAGATAAGCTATATAATGTAGAATGCTACATGTATCCTTTGACATTTGAACACTGCTCTACAATCAAAAAATTAAAGCTAAAGCAGTGAATGCAGAGAAATATGTACTAATAAAAAGAAAGAAACAAAAAAAAGCCATAATTAAACCACACATTTTCTACATGTAATTCAAGCCACTCTTTCATGGTGTTACAAACTAAACCATATTACTGCATATAAAACAAACCTTTTGATGATGATGTTCCTAAAATCAAAGCACCATCACAGCTTACAATGGCTTACATGTCTTGTGAGTTCTTATGCTCAGTATCCATTAATTATCAACTCTCATTTGTTTTTGTCAATAATATATCTGGACATTGTAATTTGAAATTTTTCATATCAAATGAACAAACCTGAAAATTGTGTCTGATTTAGCAAAATGTGCTTGGTTGAAAATAGCAAGAAAACACAACAAATCAACCACAAAATGCATGTACTAAGAATATCTGTAAAAAACACTGCAGCTTAGCAATACACAGCGATCACCCTGGGAAAATGCCCTCCACACTTCTAATCATACTTGTAAGCTCAAAACATTAACAGTGCCAAAAACCATCACTTGCAATAAAGAGAGATATACACACCTTCATCCAGGGACTCGGTGCTCTCACTTTGTTTTCTTTTCTCTGCCATGACATCATTTTCTGTCCATTTCTGACCTATATAATCACATTTTACACTTTTATTTCAGTAACTGTTGCAAAGAATGCATACATGTACATTGTACATGTATATCTGGTAAAAGTTGATAGCTGTTTTGTGAAAAAAAAATCTTTAAACATAATAATTAATACATTCTCTGGATACATACATTATTCTTAATCAATACTTTCTCTGGATACATACATTATTCTTAAAAAAAAAAAAGAAAAGAAAAAACAACAAATCTTGTCTCCCACATTACTATTACAACTGCAGAGTATCAATCTACAGAACTAATGCCATGTATGGAATTCTTGACCACTGACCTATGTTGACAGTAAATACAGAATGTGAACGGCTTGAGTGTTCATTCATCTGTGTGGACCCTGTGGTTCGGACCGCTGACCCAGACTCGAGGAGACTCATGACATCATCAAGTGTTTCACACTCTACCTCCCTGGCCCCAATTATCACTGAAACATACAGCATTCAAAATAGGAAAGTTTCCTATATACATGTAAATACAGAATACATAGATGTGTATATTGTTGTTCTGTCTTATAACACTGAACACTAAGCCCTGACTTACCAGTATTGACTTTATCACTGTTCTTGACTTACCAGTATTGACTTTATCACTCCTTGCCTTACCAGTACTGACTTTATCACTGTCCTTGACTTACCAGTATTGACTTTATCACTGTCCTTGACTTACCAGTATTGACTTTATCACTGTCCTTGACTTACCAGTATTGCCTTTATCACTGTCCTTGACTTACCAGTATTGACTTTATCACTGTCCTTGACTTACCAGTATTGCCTTTATCACTGTCCTTGCCTTACCAGTATTGTCTTACTAGTATTGCCTTTATTACTGTCCTTGACTCACCAGTATTGCCTTTATCATCCTCTCTGACATGGAGATTGCTGGCTGGTGTCTCAATGTCCAGAAGATCCTGAAGTTCTTCTTTATAAATTTCAATGTAAGATACTTTAACAGAGTATTCCACCTCTTTATTAGCCTACAAACAAGTATTATAGTTATCAATAACCTTAGAAGAAAAATAGCAAATAAAACAACCCCCCCCCCCCCAAAAAAAAAGAAAAATGAAAAGAAAAGCAAATACATTAAAACTTCAGAGGTTCATATTTTATTCATAGTTACATGTAAATGAACCAAGAAAACAACAATACAATATTGTAGATGCCTCTGACCTGCATGTAATCAAACATATCTTTGAGGGCCCTTGGGATAATGCCATATTCCTCCTCTGTCAGAGCGTTCATGTTCCCTCCTCCCACTGTGTAGGTCTTACCAGAACCCTTAATACAACAATTTTCTCTGAATAAATTTACTTATGATGTTCAAGTCTTTTTCTCAAATGTCTAATCATAAGCATCATTTTCAAAATTGAGAGCTGCATAATAAATTCACATCTCCTTCAGTCTTACATCTTCTTATTCATAAATGTTGAAAAAGTAAAATTCATTCAGATTCTTGACTATTTATTTTCTCAGTGCATCAAATTTCTGTAATCTAATTCAGTAATAGGTTCATACCGTTTGGCCATAGGCAAATACAGTGGCATTGTATCCTTCAAATATACTCCCAACTAAAGATTCTACACATGACTTGTATACTTCTTCCTAAAATTGAATATCAAACTCTAGTATTCTGGACATATGTACAAATTTCAAACACCTATACTTAATAGTATGATAAACAGTAGTAAACGTGTAAATAAATAAATATAATTTCAAAATTATTGGTAAAATAAATTCTTTTCTGATATAGTACTTCTGTTTCATATTTGTTTTATGTTTCCAGTCATTGCAAAAAGTTTGTAGTCTGATGCCCAATGCTACTAAATTTTGAACTGGGTTAGTAAAAAATATAATCTTTGTAATCTGCTGGGTGAGTGAGGTAGAGAAACCATGTTCAACTTATGTTTCACTAAATGCGAAATATGTTCAATTCTTGAAATGTTTGAGGAACACAGTCATGACAGTAAAAACTGATCAAAACAGCAATGATTAATATCTGAAACACGGTGCTGAAAGAAAGCAAAAAATAAATTGTGCATATTCTCCCAAAAAGAATAAATCAGATTATGATTGCTACAGAAGAAAAGTTCTAGCAGTGTTGGACCAACAACAGGCCATAATTATCCTGATTATAGAGGGAGAATTAAGTATATAGTGCAAAAGTGCCTTTTAGTTTTATTTAAAGAGTATCAAATTAGAGTGAGCTAGTAATTTTTTGAGGGGTTAGTAAAATTTGCTTGGACAATATTCTCATGGGCTAGTGGTTAGAAAAACTTTTCAAAATGACTTTGTTTCATAATTTACACTTGAGTTGATGTAAACGTGTATAACCTGAGAAACTTTTGGTGAGTGGACATAGTCAAATGTAAATCCTCTGTCCTTCCCCAGTATGAGCTGATTACTGGAAGGCACAACCCGCATACACATTTCTTCTCCAGATACCCTCTCCTTTGGTAGAAGTGGCCTCACCTATAGTGTTAATTTAAAATTTAATCATCTTCATAAGGCAAATCAGCCATCACTTAAAACTTATCCTTTGTTTATATATAGAAATATCTAATATAGAGAAATTGCTCACCCTTACTGCCACCCTGACATTCACTTCCTGCTGTGTTGTCATTTTTGTTTCCATGTTTCTTTGTCTAAAGTCTTTTCAGATGATATGTCTTCATTGTAATTTCTAGAAACATAAACAATTTATAAATATCAACATGATTAGAAATTTTATAATCTCTACATTGAGTTCTTTCTTTGTTCATACACTAATTCTTAACACTTGATTCTTTTAAAGACCCCCATACTTTGAAGTGCTTGAACCAGTTAAGTAATACATGTATCACACTTTGATACATCAAGTGTGTGGGAGTGGGCATCTATTTACAGTTCTCCAAAAAAAATTTAAACCAGAATAGAAACACCTGTATGTTTCAGTGTGCTGTAGAGCTGGACAGCTGAGTCTTACAGCTGTCCAGAGTATTGTCCTCCGGTGTCTCCCCTGGAAGGTAGTTCCAAATCTCACAGCCATTTAATCCGAGATTCCTCTGACTCTAACCCCTGCTTTTATATTTTGACATGTGCAGGGGAGAGTCAGAGCGGAGGCCATATTGAAAAGTGGGAATTCAGCGACTCCAGCTGGTGTCACGACTCTGCCTACCTTTTACAACTTTATTTCGCGGATCTAACTTCCGAGACGCGAGAACTCAGTAAAGGGATGATTCTTCTACAACTTATTCATCACTAATATGATGCTATCGCCATTAAAACGGCCCTATCACCGACAAATGAAGCATCACTTGAATTAGATCGCCTCCTCGCCATTCGATTTCTTTGCGCATGACATCAGCACACAAATACACAAACAAACTATCACATGAACAAATCATGTGTGGTGATGCTGCCAATTTTTTTCTCATATGAGCATAGAGGCCACTTTCGACAGTTGATTTCCTTATCAGTAAATAAATGTAACATCATTCTGATGTTTTCTGTGCTTTTTTCATCGCACTCTCATGTTTTTGCGAAAACTCCACACGTGTTTTGACCACATGTGAATTTGAAACCGATTGGAATTTTGTGTATTTGTGTGCTGACGTCATGCGCAATGAAATCGAATGGTGAGGAGGCGACCTAATTCAAGTGATGCTTCATTTGTCGGTGATAGGGCCGTTTTAATGGCGATAGCATCATATTAGTGATGAATAAGTTGTAGAAGAATCATCCCTTTACTGAGTTCTCGCGTCTCGGAAGTTAGATCCGCGAAATAAAGTTGTAAAAGGTAGGCAGAGTCGCGACACCAGCTGGAGTCGCTGAATTCCCACTTTTCAATATGGCCTCCGCTCTGACTCTCCCCTGCACATGTCAAAATATAAAAGCAGGGGTTAGAGTCAGAGGAATCTCGGATTAACAGCCATTGAGCATGTAGCAGTCAATTGACAAACTTTTAGGCAATAAATCAGAATTCAGATATGTGATGCATTTTACAAATGAAAATGGGTCAAATCATCCTCACAAGGAAATGAGGTGGTAAGTGATAGTGGCAAGAGTTGGGAGGAAAAAGATACGGTCCCATTTATAATTGAATTATTTTACAAAAATATTTCCTATATAAAAAAAATCTCATTCCACCTTTTCAGAGGGAAGTCTTCAGCAGAATTGCCAACAATACAGCTTTAAAGATATACTCAATGTTAGGTAATTAAGTAATTATTCATCTTCAAAGATATACATGAGTCATGTACTGGCATTTGAAATGTTAAAAACCATTTCGTTTTGATGTCCAGGCATGTCAGAATCTATCCAACAATTTAGATAAAAGTTATGCACGCAGTATAGAAAGAAATTCTCAATCTAAAGCTCTCAATATAATGCTACAAACCTTAATTTGTGCTCAAAATAGCACGTATATCCATGTTAATGCATACTTTTTTAACGTTTCGATGTAAACAACAGAAAATCTGCAAGAATGTATTGCGCATGCCCCCTCGACGTTTCATACCGACGTTTCCGGTACGAAACAATTCAAATAACTGATTTAAAAAAACTCACGTTTGACATAAAGTGATGAAGCGATAAAGCTAAAAAATAATTTTGATCAAGCTATTTTGAGACAATATGAATTACATTCAAATGCGAAACAGATGGTCTAAAATCTTCTTCTCCATCAATTGTAGACTGGTACCCTGACATTGGTTAACGGGTGCAAGCGCCCTAAAAAACCAATTCTGTAATTCCTAGCGGCAGCGACTGGAATCAAGGGCAGAGAACCAGTGCTACATCAATTGTGCGTTTTAAAAAAAAATAAATAAATAAACTTCGATCCCGATATTAAAGTTGTATTAGGGAGATAGCTACATGATCTATTTCACAGCCTCGGGGACTTTCTCTATGGCAAAAAATGAGTTATACAAAAAGGGACTTAAAGCTTTTTTCAAGTTACGAAAAGACTTTCTTAGCTTAAATCCTGGGATATCCACTAGCCTCAATGTCTTTGATCACACAATTAAGCCTATATTACTTTACGGCTCAGAAATATGCGGAATATTTAATGTTAATAATTCAAAAATAAAGCAATCTAATCAAATATTGATGCAACTATGCTATAAAAACTTTACAGGAGAAAATTTACACATCAAGTTCTGTAAAACTATACTAGGTTTGAATAGGAAAAGTACGAACCATGCCTCTCTTTCAGAATTATAGGTAGATATCCTTTGCATTATGATATTATCAACATGTTACTTAAATATTGCTACAGATTAGAAAATTTAAATTCAGATTTCCCTTTACTAAAAGATGCATTTATATGTAGTAAGGAACTTCATTTCGCCCAAAAAACAACTTGGTACTCCTCAATAGAAAAATTACTAAAAATTCTTGATATCCCAAACATAATGTCCTATACTAAGAGTAATTTTATGAATTCATTAAAACAATCCATGAATAAAATATACTCACTTGATTGGCAACACTCAAATGAAACACTAAAAGAGGACAAACTTGTCACTTATTTATTTCTGAAGAACAATTTTAGATTGGAAAAATATCTAATTTTATTAAAACCTGAATACAGAAAACCAATATGTAGATTACGTGTATCAGCGCACAGACTTTTCAGAGAATTAGGCAGATATAATAACACACCCAGATCAGAAAGAATATGTAAAAATTGTACGCTTAATCAAATTGAAGATGAAGAACATTTCCTTATTCACTGTAGCAAATTTACAAAGGAAAGAGAAGACCTATTTAACCTGATCTCATCTAAAGTAAAACATTTTACAGAATTGCCTGATAAACAAAAATTATTCTGGATTCTAAATTGCGAAGAACTAGATATACTAAACTCTCTTGGAAGATTTTTACAAAAAACATGACCATATATTTTTTTTTTAATTATTATTATTAATTGTGTAAAAGTATGATACTTTCAAGTATGGTTTAGTAATGAATGCATATATATATAATGTACTATATATATACCTATAAAACAAGTCTTATGTTCATATAAAATATTTTGGGTATTCCCCTACTTGTATGTCTTTTCTATCAATCAAGCAATTCTTTCCCTCTTATGTATATGTATATTGTATTTCGTATGTATGATCATAATCATTATATACAATTTAACAATGTACTTTCTTTTTGCCCCATGAGGGCCCTTAATTGGTCAATAAACGAATTGAATTGTACGTAACCGAAACAGAGGATCTTTTAAAAAATCATTGAGTTCAAAAAGTGTTTTTCAAAACTCACATCAAAGTATTTTTCTGCTTTGTGAAGGCATGTGGGAAGCAAATTCAGTTGGGGGGGGGGGGGGGGGCTTGCAAAGGAAGAGAAATTCCGGTGGACTAAAAACACCTACAGAGACACAATATCATGGCATGCTTGCATGTAAAAATCAAAAAGGAATTTTCAAAGCTGTTTTAAGTTTCATGCAAGACGTCGGTGTCGCATAATTTTGGTTTTGAGTAATTTTGCGTTTCGACTGGAACTCTAAATAATACCCTGTAATATTGGTTCCAGGCTATACTAAAATTTCCCACCCACTTAAGATTGTTTCCGGCCATGATTTTAGTTCCGGACATCCACTTATCTTATAAAACTTAACAGGTCCGTAGGAAGCAATTTCGGTTTGCGGAGGGGGGGGGGGGGGCACTGCCATATATTTTCAGTTGAGGGGGCACTATCAACTACCAAAAATTCCTTATTACTTGTCAGGCAAAAGAAAAAAAAAAAAAAAAAAAAAAAAAGAGGGGGCTTCAGACGTTTTTATTGAGGGGGCACAAGTATATAGTACCTATGTTTTCTATAGTAATCTATATATCGGCAAAACTATTGCCCCCCCGTGCCTACCCCCCTCCCCGGTTCCTACGGCCATGCTGAAGTAATATTAAAATATTTATAATACAACCATTTGTTATAGTTTTCTTTCCTTTTTGGGGGGTTGTACAAGATAATTAAAGCGACTGTTGTGATTTCATTTTTTACTCTAATAAATAATTGATTACTGTTAAAAAAAATCATTTTCAAAAGGTTGAGAATATCTCCTGTTCATTTTGGAAAGAGTTTGACTTGTTAAAAAATTATAAACGAAAAATTTGTCGATTTATATAATATTGCTCATGCATGTTCTGTAACAATACAGAATCCTTACATAGGCTTCAGATCCGGGGGGGGGGGGTTAAGGAGGGCTTAGCCCCCCCCCCCCCCGCGCTTTTTTTTTTTGCAAAGATAGACATTATATATTTAAGGAATGTTTTTAAGTTTTGTATGAGTTATTGGTGTGTAAATCACACAGACTTGTCACATAGGCATATTTCATGAAGCGCGCTAGCGCTTCATGAAAAATATGCCTACGTGCAAGTCTGTGTGATTTACACACCAATAATTCACACAAAACTTAAAAACATTCCTTATATTTACATTTTACATGCTTAAATGCACCAAAAATATACTCAGTTTTTGAATTTCTCTATGCCCTATACCGTCATATTTTTATTAACGTCTTTGTAGCCTCATTGTGACGTCACTTTGGGGCGAGTTTCGTCCTTTATATTTCTACGCGTGAGTATACACAAAAATGACTTTCAAATCAATTTCACAGTTGGCTTAGTAAAAAACACAGCAAATGTAAATATATAGAATTATAGAAATTGAAAATTGGGACTTACCCAGTTTTTTGTTGGTTTAGCCCCCCTCCCCACTTTTAATTACCCCCCCCCCTTTCAATTTGCTTCCGACGCCTATGCCTTATTTTTAAGCTAATGTGACGACCTTTTCACCACTCTCTACCATCGGCTCATACATTCATGTGTCTGAGAGAGAAACGAACGACACTCTGCATAGGAGATTGCCTTTTCACTAGAACAGTAATTTATATATGCAGGGACCTGCAAAAGTAACTAACGTATATATGTGTCCTTGATGTATGATAGGAAAGGAATATTACCATAAGTGTAATATTTGTAGATTAAAAAGTTTCTCTTTTTAGTAGATTAAAAAAGTGTCAAATTCATTTCCTGGTTTTTAAAAAATATCGGGTTCGGGTTCAATAACGTTTTCAAGCGTCTTTGCTACACCGATCAACATTTGTACTAGCTGTTGAAAGACGTCGAAAAATAGTGAAAATATACCAATACAAATTGACGATTGACGAAGGACCTGACTCTGTGGTTAAAATCTGTGGTTTTGAATTTTTTTAAAGAACTAAAATGAGACACAGTTGATTGTGATCCGTGTCGCAATGGAAAGAACAGACAGTGCCAGCACTGGCATGGCATCTCTTGTGGAGATGTATGAGGAACATTCGGATGAAGAAAATAGTCCGGATGCCCCTTCTGCAGTTGACAATATTTCAGACGAAGATGAAGTCGACAGGGAATCATCATCTCATAGTTCGAGACCGCCATCAAGACCAATATTTGAAGACGAAAGTGCAGTATCATCACCTCTTTCTATTCCTGCAAAACCTGCCTTAAAAAGAAAAAGTATGTGTTACATTAGCGGGAATAAACTTAAAGACATAAAAAGATCAGCAACACAACATAAGATAATAATAGGGTGGGGGTCATTTAAAATCTAAAAGTTGCAAGAACCAATGGGCTAAAAAAAAAAAAAAAAATTCCTAGCTTACATAGTGTAAGATATAGGAGTGTTCACATGATGGCCCCTGTTTGTAGGGTGGGGTTAGAATAAGGGATAAAAGTTTTTGATGGAAATATTTAGGAATTAAAAAAAATCTTTTCATGAACAGTATACTAAGGTGGGGATCGGCACAACAGAGGTTAAAAATTTTTTAGGGGAATATAGAGGAAAAAGTCTTCAGGCCCGGGGGCCATAAAACTGAGGCAAGCTCACTTTGGTTCTCAATCTCACTTTTCCACTATATATTCCTTTTGTAAAAGTGAGACTAAGAAAGATCAAAAGTTAGCTCGTCTAAGTTTTATGGCCCCGGAGCCAGGTCTTAAAACTATCCTTTTAAGACACACAGAGCCAAATGACTCAGGTTAGTGTTGTGGCCCTCTTTCATTGTGATTGTCCCAATCCGTGGATAATGCTTTATAAGTATTTATCCAGTAAATATATCATATACTACAAGAGAAAATTTGTAGGGTAGACTGGGGTAATTTCGACCACTTTTGCTGATTTGTGGCTTTCAATCCACAAAACACCACTGTTTTCAAATGTACTAGTTTAAAAAAGAGTCAAAGTAATTGAGACTGATTTTTTCTTCATATTTTTTTGTTTTACGAGTTAAAAATGCATAAAAAATAATGAATTGGTTTAAAAATAAGTAAGCATAATTTCGACCGGCCTCGGGGTAATTTCGACCACAACAAACATCAAAAAGAAAGATAACTCTTGCAATGCATGTAAACTTTACCTGTCGCATTTTATTCAAAATTGATGGTCTGAGAAACTATGTTGCCTTATTTAGAAAATACGTGTATCTATCTCTCTCAATAAAAAGATTAAAATGGATAAGTACTAGTATCCATACAGTAAAGAATTGGGTTGGGTTACTTAAGCTTTTCAATGTTGTCTTATAGACATCTTAATTCTTATTCTTTATTCTAAATTCTGCTTT